GCATATATACACAACAAAAAAATTTACAAATCAATTTGAAATGAAAGGAGGCAGAAATAAGAAAAAAAATCTTATAATATCTGCCCCTTTTTTCCATAATTAATTTAAAGCAATAACAATCAAGAAAACAAAAAATAAAAAATAAAAACGTTCAATTCATTCTCAAACAACTTCGATACACATTATACAGTTTCATATTTCTTTAACAAACTTATTTTTATCTTTCTTTTAAACAAACACATTGAACTAACATTTTTATAATCACTTTCCAGAGTATTTCACAATTTTATTCCCTGAACCGAGGTACATCGGTCCTTCAAATTTGTTCGAATTCTAGGTTTCACAAACATCTCAAGTCCTTTAAGATTATAAGAACATTCTCCCTTAACAAAATGTAACTGGATATTTAAAGGTAACATTTTATGAGCCTTATACATAATCTACAAAATATTATAATCAACCAGCTCAGAAAATTTTAATTTTAATTTATGAAATAATATATTTGATGGGAGACTGTAATGTTTTCTGGTGATAATTCTTACGGATCTTTTCTGTAAAATGAGAATAGGATTTGTAATTGTTTTGCATGCTTTACCCCAGACTTCAACACAGTAAATCAAGTGTGGAACAATTAGTGTATTATACAATATAAGCAGAGCGTTATCATTGAATAACTCCCTTACTTTATATAGTACTCCAACAGATTTTGCTATATTTGTTTTTATTATTATTGTTATTCTCTCTGCTGCTCTCATCAGGTTGGAAGTTTGGGGCGGTCTTTGGTCGCTCCGGGGCGTTCCCGACAGAGTGCGTCCATCCCGTTGCTCCTCCTGACTTTCTGTCACTGCCGCTGGACCGAAAGGCGGAGCCTCGAGGCGGAGCGGACCAGTTCGCCGTGTCGTCGGCTGTTGCCGTGGCCGTGGCGTCCACCATGGCTGCGCACGAGATAGATTACACCATCGAGGTTCACAAACGCACACATTCTGTATACGCTGGTTCTTTGTGACTGTCGAGTTTTTTTTTCTTTTACTGTCCCTCTTTGTTTCTTTAGAGTGTTTCATTTGATGGCTTTTCTGATGGAGAGCTGGATGAGAGGGCCCTGCAGGACACTAAATATGACATGTTGGAGTTCGCCAGGAAATACTTCAGACAGGCGTCCGGTGGAAAGGGGTGAGACGGAGGCAGAGACATACAGAAAAACTCAGGTTGATGTCCAGGGGTGCAAATGTATCAGCTACATACAGATTTTATTACTATTATTGGTCCAAAACCAAAATAATTTAGAAAACAGTATCATGAAAATCTTTTCAGTCTCCTTTTTATTTCTTTATATTTTGTTTCCAAGGACTTAGACTCTTCTGATACACTTTCAAGTGGTTTTGATCTGCAGTGTTTCAGACTGTTTGAAGGTTTTTTTAAGTTTTATCTTTTGACACTGGTTGACTYATCAAAAATATTTTTGATTGAAATTTTTTTTGATTGAAGATGCTTTTTGTTTGATTGAATAATAAAAACACAAATTTACCTCCATACATATTGCGCAGTGTGGGTTTAAAAAGTCAACAAATGAACGACAAAAAAGCTGTTTCAGGCTAGTTTACAGCAGAGGAACAGCGTGTCGTGTATTTAAGAGACAGGAGACATTGCAGCAAAGACCTGAGAGATGCAGCATCCTTCAGCTGATTATCTACTTTATGTCAAGAAAAGCACTTTGTTGTTGCTAAAATATTATTTTATGCCTGTCAAACTGTGATATTTTTGGTATTTCTCATAGATTCGACTAAAATAAAATGGAAACACATTGTGTCTTTGTGACAGGCTGCCTGTAGCAAAGTACCTGAAGATCTAATTTAAAACTGGTTCTTTGGGTTGTCTGTTTCCTTTCAACGCAACTCTGTTTCATCACATGAGTTTTAAGTCTTTTTATGCCTGAATGATTCACAAGTCAAAGTTTATTAGCTTAAAACACAAAAACATTTGTAAAAGATTAGGTACTGAACTGAAAATGAGTAAAAAGTAAYTGTGCAAACTACTTGCAGTTTGAATGCAGATGTTGTTTGTGTATAACTGAATTTGTTTTTAATCGCCACGTTTTCCTACATTTTGCCTAATAAATAAAATCCCCTCAATTCTTACAGCAGAGTTTAACTCTAAAGGCCTGACGTTTTGACTGAATCTGTTCTCAGAGATTCCCTGAAGAGCAAAAGCAAGAATAGAGACTCCAGGGAGCCGGCTGAGATGATCAAGTTCTCTAAGGTGCCTTTTCTTTTACCCTTTTCTTATTATTATTATAGCAATAACCATGATTTGTGTGTTTCATTAAATGATTCGTTGTTTGCAGACTCCTCTGACTGAGTCTCTGATAGAGTTCACAGACTCAGCCATGAACAGAGTGGCTGCTGATCTCTTCCTGTGTGAGTCATCTCTAATTACATCATCTCATTACATCCGATTTATACTCTCTTAAAAATAGAGGACATTAAGGTTTTATCTCTCTGGAATTGCACTTTTTGATGTTTTCAGAATTGTTTTGATTTTGTTAAAGGGATTTCTCATTCAAACCATTCCTTGGAGACAAATTTGTGATGTGATCTTGGAAATTACTCCACCCATGTTGGACTTATAATGTCATGTGCTGGATTTCTTTCTTTTGCAACATTTCTACACTGGTGATGTGTGTAACTCTTTATGTGTCCTGTTTGTGTGTTGTTTCTGTAGCTATCATGCGTTTCATGGGTGACTCTTCACTAAGAGGTCTGACAGAACAGGAAGTGGTCGGCACATTCCTCAAGGTAAATGTTGGTCATTGTTGGATTAATGTTATTCTTTGGAGCCAGAAGTGAGCAGATTTAAACAAAGATGGAAATTTGTGTGCTAATTAGATTTAATTAGAGAAAAAAATATGTATTTTGTTTTTGGTAGTTTATTAAAATAGTTTTAATTTGCTAAGATTGTCCTCTTCTTGATATATCCCTCATTTCTTTATAATTTAATTTATAATTACTTTCTTTAAATCTGTTAACGTGGTTATTCAGGCTTTATGAAAGGCTTTTTTTGTGCTTATTCATTTTCAGTCTAGGACTTGGAAATGGATCTAAACAGTTTCCTAAACTTAATGAATGAATTAATGTTTTAATGACACAAAAGATAGATTAGCAAAAAACAAAACAAACAAAACAAAAGAACTGTTTCAATTGGATCTAAAGGCACTTGGTTATCAGCAGCTTGTTGCAAAATACAATTTGACCAGAAAACAAATGAAAAAGCAGGCAACATTTTACAAAAACCTTTAAAAAAAACTGGAGAATTATTTAGCAAGACCATTTTAACCCTTAAGCATAATTTTGTTTCAGGGGCAGCTAAATGGTTAAAAGTTTTAAAGACAATCTGTGAAACAGTTTAAAACTTACAGTATATTGTTGTCAGTCCTGTCATTTAAAGATTAGGACTCTTTAATGAGTCATTTAACTGCTGTATTCTTCATACAAATTTAGAAAACATGAAATCTGTATTAGTTAAACCTTTACATCACAATGCAGTAACCTTTAAAAGATATAAAATAAGTGGAATCAAGTGAACAATATCTATCAAATCTATTTACAAAGATCCTGCTCCATGTGATGAAGTTATTCTAGAAACTTGTCAAATTATTTTAAAATTGTAAGATTTTTCTTTTTGACTTGAAAAGCAGTTTCCATAAATACATACAGACACTTTAAAAAGCAGTCATAGTGTGTGTCAGGTGACAGAAAATGAGCAATTCATTGTGAAGGAGAAAGAGGGCTGAAATATAATTAAAAGTAATATAGTAATGTTTGCTTTACCTGTCTCATCTTTTTGCCTCTGATCCTTGAGGTTATTTTTGGTCTTAGTTTGTCAAAATTTATTTTTCACGTCATTCAACATCAAACATTTAGAGCAGCTTTTAGTTTGGCTCCTGTTCTGATACCTGAACTGACAGTATGGGAGAGAATCCAGTAATAAAGTGTTTTACTGTGTTTTTTTTTTCACATTTGGGCTTTAGTTTCTCATAATATAGTGTTTTTACAAGATAGTGGTAAATATAAATTAAATTGGGTCATTCTGGTTGTTCTATTTTGATTTTAAATTTTACTATTTATAATACAATACGTACATGTGGCTCATCACATCAAACCACGGATTAAGTCGCAGCTATGTGAAGTGAGATAAAAGGCAGCTATAGTGCACTGATGAAACATTTCACTAGTTGGATTTTGTCAAAAAAGGATGAATAAATGCCTTATCTGTGGCTTCCTCTAAAAAATGTCCAAAATATAATCCTAAAGAATTTTTGAAGCACATTTCTGAGCAGTACTAGTTTCAAGCTCCTTTTAATGCCAGCTTGGAAATCCTGATATCAAATTATTATAATTTAAGGGTTCCACTTTCGAAGAAGTCCTCATTAACATACACAAAAAAATAAAATTCAGAATTTTTTTCCTGGGGTTTTCCTGATTAGAAAGGCAAATTAAGTTGTATCTCTGGAAAAGCTCATGATATCAGGATGATCAGGGTATCAACTTGTATTAGAAAGCTGGGAATCTGAACGTGCTTAGTTCAATTTGAACTAAATCTCTGATATGATGGGATGGGTCACATATGTTGTATTTATCTGGACTGTGTTGATATTTCTCTCTATGTATCATCACATATATAAGGGCAACAAAAACATGGGGTTTCAAGAGGTATTCTTGTGTGTCTCTGTGTGTGTGTTGTGTGTGTGTTTGGTTACGGGCTCTCCAGCTGATAGGCGAGTTCACCTTGATGAGAGATGAGGCTTACTGCCAGCTCCTTAAACAGCTTACAGCCAACACCAGCTCTAAACCGTAAGTCGGCCGACCGCACACTCACAAAGAGCCATCATGAACCCACACTTGCCTCTCTGGTTTGTGATCCTGCGATCCTGGTTCTCGCACCCCGCAGTGATAGCTGCCAGCGAGGATGGAGGCTGCTGTACGTCCTCACTGCCTTCCACCGCTGCTCTGAAGTCCTCAAGCCTTTCCTGCTCAAATACCTGCAGCAGGCCTCTCGCAGCGCAGGGACACAATATCAGGGTGAAAGCGCAAACCTCTAACAGCAACAAGTGTAAATTTTCCTGTGCGCAAGTCACCAGTTTAATATTTCCTTTATTTTTTTTTTTTTAGGTATAGCTAAAGCTTGTGAGCAGAATCTGAAGAAGACGTTTCAGTATGGAGGTCGCACTGTTCCACCCAACAGCATGGAGCTGAAAGCTATGATGGTCAGTGCCTCCTTTTGTTTGGCTGCATGAGAACAAAAAGTATGCAGTTCCTTTACACAAATACAACTACTAATATTCTAAAATCTCTTCACAGCATATTAGGGATTAGTTTCAAAAGTACAGATGGTCATTATACAGAAAATACCACATTCAGAACTGTAATTTGTCAAAAATAAGTCCATCCTACTGAAACTGTTAAAATGTGAAGGAGTGACAGGTGGATTCATTTTTTTTTCATGAGAGTGATATCAAACCAGTATCTGAATATTTCTTAAAATCCTTTGGAAAAATAATGATCTACGTATGGCTCTAAGTTTGCTTTGGAATAAAAAAAATCTAAATTTATCTGAAATAGATTTTTTTGATGTACAGAAAATAAACTTAGGTGTTTTAGATTTGACATGTCATGGATGTTTTTGTGGAAATACCATTTTAAAAACACAAAAATATCTGAGTGTTCTACGTTGTGCATGTCTGTTCTTCACCACACACTGAACCATGAACAAACTGAACAGTTAAAAAAATGTTTAGACTAATCAAAGTGTAAACAGAGATTTTTAGGTCTAAATAAGAACTAAGTGAAGACTTGTTCTTTTTAAAAGTCAAAATGTGCTGCTATTGATAATAAACATAATAATATTTTTTTAAAACTGAAATAGTTCAAAAACTGACTTTATATTAATGGAAACCATAATATATACATCCATCGTCTATACCTGTTTCTTCCTTTCAGGGTCACGGGGTTTACTGGTGCCCATAAGTACATAATATCAAACTATTTTGACTCAAATACAAATAAAACTTCAATTGACTTTGATTATAAAAACATTATGTAGCAGATATTAAAAATCATGAATAATTTTTACTTTTCATCACCACATCTAATAAAAAAATGCAAAGGTTTTTTTTATTTTACCAGCAAGTCCTGTCAGCATGTTCAAATTCATCTGTTGATGAAATGTTTTAATGGGATTATAGTTTGAAAATAATCCCAAACAAATGCAGTTTTTTTTCCCCTTCTCGGCTGCTCTTAGCAGAAAAGTGTTCTCAGCTATTTTAGCAAATCCTGCCACTGTGGACTTTCAAACCATTCTTACAGATTTATTTACTGACCAAAGCAGTTGAGGCTAAATGTCACAAACTTGAGTTCAGTCTGGCTAACGTGTAAATGTCGTTGACAGTAAAAAAAACTCTCACAAATTAGCATTTTTTGATGTCAATGTGGAACCACTTTGTGATTAAAAGTTAAGGTTTATATGTACAGCTTTCCCCACACACACACACTGTAGCTGTGACTGTGCTTCTTTTTCAGGCGGGACGAAGTTCGAAGCGTCAGCTATTTCTCTTCCCTGGAGGCATTGAACGCCATGCCAAGATCAAAACATGTTCTGTAAGTTCTCAGCATTTGCTGGAGTGTGTGAGTGTGAGGGAGATGTGATGGACTGAGGTTTCTGGTCTGTTCTTTAGGTTGCCCTGGAGGTGATCGAGGAGTTGTGTTATGAGATGGGTTTACACACAATTGAGGCCATGGAAGAATACGCCATATTCCTAGTGACCAACAGAGGTCAGAGTTTTCTATTCTTTGTCTCGCAGACACACACATACACCTGTAGTTTCTGTGTAAAAAGACCACCTTTTCAACAAAACAGATCTGCTGATCTGTCTGATTTAAAGCAGTTTGAGGTTATTTTAATATCTTTGTAACTATGTTGTTACTTTTTGTGTATTTTGCACAAAGTCTTTCCTGAGAGTTTTAACGAGATGACCTAAATCAGGGGTCTGCAACCTGCGGCTCTGGGGCCACCTGTGGCTCTTTGGTCACTCTGCAGTGGCTCTTTGAAAATGTGACCAAATATAACAATTTTTTATATACTCACAACCCTAGTAAATTGTATTCAAATATGTGATCAATACTATTAAAACAAAAAGTAAAAACATGCTAGCTCATGCTAGCCTGAATAATCCAACTTCTTTCTATGATCTTTCTCTCAAATCCAGTAGGCTTATCTTTAAACACCTTGAAGACTACATAATAATAAGAGTTAGAAAAAATATGCCTGACTAGTTCAGCTGTACTAGTTTTCATGACATGCTGTATAAAATATATACAGTATTATTCTTGTACAGGAATATGTTTTTTTTCTTTAGTTCTGAAGTGTTGAATAAATAATAAATAATAAAATTCACAATATATTTTTTTGTTTTACAATGTCACTTCCGCTGGCCGTAAAGGCTCATGAAAAGGCCTTGAAAAGGCCTGTGGACCACCAGTTGATAATCATAGTTGTAGCTTGTTTTGCGGTTCTGAACACATTTTATTAGTGAGCCAAGGAGCAGAAACGGCTCTTTTGATCGTAAAGTTTGCTGACCCCTGACCTAAATTAATCAATAATTCCAGCCGGTTCGGATGTTATCAGTCCATTAAATGGACGTTATTAGTGGTTATCTGTCCCATAGATTGGCTTCAGACTGTCCCGACAGTGTCCCCTAGTGGGTTACCAGTGCCATATATGTTGGAATGCAACAATCTGCTACCGCCAGAGTCCGGTCTACTTTATCGTAGCCCATGTCATTTTCTCTAAAATTAACCTTAGAGGCTTTATGCCTCATTTTAACCAGATTGCATAAAAAACCTTAGTGGTTTTATGCCTCATATTAACCAGCTGACAGTCTGAAGCCATTTCATGGGACGGAGAACCCACTAGGTGGCACAGTCAGGGCAGTCTGAAGCTAGTTTGAAGTCATTCTATGGGACTGATAACGGCTAATAACGTCCATTCAGAGGATGATAACATCCAAAGCGGGTGATAATTCATGCCTAAATTGATAACATAAACAACTCTTTTCTACATTTGCACTTTTAGTTTATATATTTTTTTAAAAAATCTCTGACTTTTTAATTAAAATCTAATTTAAAATAAAGTATAGTTATCCGAAAATTTGCTAAATGCTTTTTATGATAAGTTGCATGAAAACAACATGTAGCAGGTATCAGTTGTTCAATATCATACATTTTATTATGTCCTAAAAAAATTTAAACGTAATTTCAACTTGATCTTTGTGAAATTTGGTAAAACTGCAGGAGATTTATCACACTGGGAAAGACTGTGTCAGCAAACAATTTAACTAATAAAGGTTTAGCATTTCTTAGAGTAATTCACATCACCTGCTGCCTTTTATGCTAGAGATTTGAACTAAGTTCGAATTTGAACATAAAATCACAATAAGTGTTTACACACCTGCAGCTGCACAATCATTCGTACTGTTACTATTCATTGTCATCACTCAACTGAACAATCATTTGCACTACTACTCTGCTGTAATTGTACATCTGTGTTTCTTGTCTGCACTGTGATACTTCACTTTACTGTTATTGGTCTGTTGAGATTGTTTTGCACAGAAAACAGGCAATTTCTGTTTCCTAATGTTGGATTCTGATAGTCTACTGTCTCTAAAACAAAACACATCTTTTTCTATCCTTGCACAATTCTTTATATTATATTTTTTATTATTAGTAGTTGTATCATGGCTAGTCAGTGTTAATTTTTGTTTTGTGTGCATCTATAGTTTGTAAAGTAACTAGTGTGTGAACCTCTGTACTGATGCTGCTGTGTCACCTGAATTTCCCCTCTGCTTGAAAATAAAGGCTATTTCTATACTATTCTATTCTATTCTATTCTATTCTATTCTAAGTTCATTTTACAATGAGAAGAAATGGAGTCAAACTTCAGTAGCTCTCAGGTACTACCACATTAAACTTTAGCTCCATGTCTGTAAATTTGACCAAGTTGTTATTAATATTTGTGCTAAGGTTGTTCAGCTGTGGTGGCCATCTTAAACAGGGTTGACTACAAAAGTCAATCAGTAGTAAATATTCACTCACTGACTGCTTTCTGTGGGATTCATTAAAATCTATTCAATGTTCATGAAATATTTTGGTAAAAGTCACAAATACACGTACAGCTTCTGGAGGTGGGTGATAATTAAGAATAAGACCTTCTAACACAGAGTTGTAATATTAGATCTATAAAATATTTAGAAAAAACTGCAAGATATGTGAGGATCAAAGTTTTTCTATCTATACTGATGGTCTTCCTGTTTTCAGAAAGTCAATGTCAAATCATATTATAGACATACTGTAGTTACATCTTGGCTCAGGTTTAAAATGGCCCAGATGCTAAACTTATATTATTAAAACAATTATAATAAAGACATCTTGAACTGTCTATTATAATCAGCTAAAATCCAGCAGGAACTGAGAAACGTTTCACTTTCCGAGCTCTTGCAGCTGATCTCCTCAGTTCAGAATCAGTGTTGCTACGAGAGGAAGTGATGCAACACAACTGCAAACACTCGCCTGTTCCGACTTCTAAAAATCTGTTTCTGCCGCCGAATCAAACGATGAGCCTGTGGGAAACCAAAGAGTCTGTTTTAATGTTACGCTGGTTTAATGCTGTTTTAAATTAAGTTCAGAATTAAAATGATTTTTCATATTATTACAGTCTGTTCTTATACTGTACATTTTAACAATCTCCAACCTAATGACATGAAGATGCATGCATGTTCACACTAGGTATTTTGACACATTTACAAACTAAATTTAGATCTAACATCTAGCATGTAGATTTTACTTTTTTATATAAAATTGTGTTTATATAATATTATTGGCTGACAACGTGAGTTTTCAGGTGTTATCAATGGGCAGACCCTGAAAACAGCTGAAAGTTATAAAACAAGGAACATAGTGCTAAAAAAACATTTCTCAGTGATGTTCCTCTGAGCAGCTTATGAAATGAACCTTGGGTCCAGTTCATAAATAGCCATGTTCAAATCTGACAGCATAATAGGAGTTTTAAAAAACAGCATGTGAGGATTTCTGACGATTTGGCCCCGCCCAGATTATGGCTTATCCTTTTATTTAGAATTAAACTTTGTCTCTCCAAACTGAAGTTGCTCAGAGATATGATATTGTTTAAAACTTTTCCATTAGACCCAACTTCAAAGGATGTGAATGATCACTTTAAAGGGGGGTGGGGTATGCTAAATCAAATTTTGAGCTTTATATCATTCCCTCATCAAAAACATAGCGTGTTGCTTTCACTCATTAACGCATGTTTGAGAAAAGCTTAAATCTCCAGTGGTGGCCAGGTGGAGCTGCCTAAACACTTGCTGTTACAAAGCACCGCCTATTTATAAAAAGCTCCTCCCTAGAGCTCAGTTTGCAGCTGAGCTCCAGCTCCAGTGAGCACCCTTCCCCCGAAGCATTGTTGTGAAGACATGCTGAAGTGGGAGTGTCTGAAATGGTAGGAGGTTCTTAAAGAGACAGAGGCCAATTTCAAGGTATTTAGCAATGGTGGGCAGCACTAATTCAAAAGTTAGTTGCGCAAATTCTAAAGCGCTAGTAAAATTATTTAGGTCCGCAAGGTCTAAAGCACATAAGCCCATGGAAACTTGGCGGAAGCTAAATCTAAAGCGCAAATCTACTTCCTTTCTCCACTTAAGACAATACTGACAATAAAAACTCAATGAAAGTTTACATTAGCGCTACTCGGTTTTAAATTTAGAAAGCCCAAGTCCGCACATCATTTGAAGAAATTAGTAAAATCCCTAAAGTGCAAATGAGAAATTTAGGTCCACAATTAGAACTTTTGCGCTTTAGGGGACCAGACATTGATACCAACCCACCACTGGTACTTAGACACTAGTATTTTTCATGTATACAGACATTTTTTATATAACTGAAGGTAACATAGTTACTTAATTGTGGTATAGAAATGAACTATTTGCCTGGAAGATGCATAATAGCCCCTTTTAAAGATGCTCTCAGAGTTGTGCAGTTCCCATTTTTTCTACTAAAACAAATCAAAACCTTGTTTGAAGGTTAAATATTTTCTTGCATGATGACAGACAGCAGCTTCATGAGAAGAATATCAGGTCATGAGATTAAATGAGTGTTTATGGGTTTATTTCAGAACCTTTTGTTTGGTCAGGAATAGTCACTATTTTTAGTCTGGAATCAAATTTAAAAAATGATTAAAAATTGATAAAGACATGCTGTAACAAAACGGGTGTTCTCAGGTCAGAATGTGCGACCCCTGAACAAGAACGAGTACATCCTGGACGTGGCGACGGAGGCCGAGTTAGTCGACGCCAACTACAGCCTCTGGTTCCGACGGGTGGTCTGGACTCAGCCGTTAAAATTTGAGAACGAGCTCTGTGTCGCCATGCAGTACAACCAGGTACAACACAGAGAGGCTCCAATCACTGCACCTCGTATCGGCTTTCACGGCTTCACAAGTTTGTTTGTGTGCCCTTTTTTTAGATTCTTCCTGACTACCGCAAAGGTCTGCTGAATGTGCTTTCACATGGAAAAGTGAGCGACCAACAGTTCCACCAAATCTCCAAGCTGGCTGCTTTACAGCAGAGAGCCAAAGACATCGTCTTCACCCCCAGCATGTGAGAACACATTTTCTGTCATCTTCTTATCTACAAATCATCCTTTACGGCATTCATGCAAATATAATATGTTGTGAATTATTTAATGCCACAAAACTAGTCTGCAAAACAAAGAAAAAGTCCTGTTCATGGAGCATGATTAACAAATTAATAGCATCTTTATATTTTTGAGAAACAGTAAAGTGAAAGAAATGGGCTTCTGATGCAGCACAGTCACCAGTTATTCTGTTTAAAGGGCATGGCTGTTATTTACTTTCTGTTCGGTTAAAAACTCTTGCCTCTACGGCCCGTTATCGCCATCACTCTGAGCACAGTGCCGAGCAGCTCACTGACTTGTGGAAAATCATTTTGAGAAATGTTAGAACTCACAGAGTGAAACAGACTTCTGTTTATCTGACACTTGTTTTTTTTTTAACTCCCCTCTATCCTCAAGACATGAATTATCCGAGTACATCGCCGCACCTCTCTTCAAAAAGCAGCCACCGCAGCAGTGGGTGACCATGGTGACGCAGCACATGCAGCAAGTGCAGCCCCTGAACCCGCATCAGGCCCGAGCTCAGTTTCTGGGTAAAAACTACTAGAAAACAAAAGGCACTTCATGAAAAATATGTTTTCTTCTCTTGTGTAAAAACTAAACGCATCACATAAGGTCTTTTTTTTTTCACTTGACTTGCTGGTAATGTCTGGTATCAACTAATGCAGCAAAGGAAAGATTAAATACAGTAATTCAAAAATCAAAAAGGTTTTAATGGGGGGGGGGGGGGGCACAAAAAATCCTGGGGTAGCGCCACAAAACCAAAATCCAGAACACAATTTAGAGATTTCTGTTGTCATAAGGGTGTTTGACAAATACAGCAATACATGATTTAGAGAATAGCCTTCTGATACACAATGATCTAATTTAGATTTTTTATTTTTTTTTTATTTACGGTTAATGTTAGTTATTGAGAAAAGCACTGTCTCTAGTCAGCTTGTTGAAGCTTTTCCTCTCCATTCATAATTATTAAAAAAAATACTTGGGTAAATGCCAAATAAGGGCCACCAGTTTTTTAGGGGTGGCCATCTTTTGTACACGGTCTACTTTACAGTTACAGTAAATGTTTGTACTTGGGTGTTAAAAATGGCCAAAAAGAAAAATCAATTAAATCATAATGTAAGTTTGGGGTTTAAAAACAAATAAGTTGTAGGGAGTCTGATGTTGTTTCTATTGACATTATTGACTTTATTGAGTAAGGTGCAAATTCCCTCACTGTGGCATCAATAAAGTCTTGTCTTGTCTTATCTTATCTTATCTTATCTTATCTTATCTTATCTTATCTTATCTTATCTTATCTTATCTTATCTCTGTGTCAGTTTATTTGTTTCTTGTCCCATTTTGTAGTGGGATTTTTTGAACCTTTTGTGATATCAAAGGGGACATATGCAAAAATCCACTTTTTTAGCCATTAAATACATTTTGTTCATGAGCRTAACTTTAGGTCTATCATTGRTAATGCTTTCTGCCTACRTATTTATTTATTWATTAAATCATTTACTTTTGTWGAACASTTCATTCCACATATTTGAAATCRCATCAAAGTTTCCTAAAGACAACAAGAGAGCTGCATCTGTGTACTTAACCAGTTAATTTCTCTTGTGTTAGAGCAAATAATGTAATTTTACTGTGGGGGGTTACTGACTGCATCAAATTATTGTGGGGGTCATGACACCCCTAACCCCTCTGCAAATTATGCCCATGATTTTGTTGTGTACTTGGAGTCTCTAGGAGTGCAGAAAAGTTTAGTTTAGTCTCTCCCAGTGCTTTGTAGATATTTTTATGTTTGGGTCATATACTTCAATCAGTTCAGTTTTCTCTATTTTTATGACGTTTTCTGAACTACTGTTTTACGTCACAGTATCTGCGACGGAGCAGACATATAAGGTCTGGACTTTTGGCCAACTAAACAGTTTTGTTGTCTTTGTTCTCCTCTGGATCTGGGTCAGACTCTGGCTCCAACATGTAAGGCTGGATGGACAAGTTTTCTGTTGTTGACATCTTTTAATTAATTTGTAAATAAAAAGTTTATGTGCTGCTATATAGTTGTAAACCCCTCTATCAAACTAGAATAAACCTCTGGGGGGTGGGGAAGCGCCTCATTTGGATTTAAAGAGACAGCCTCAAAATGAGTTGAGGTGAAAGAGAGGCTTGTGGAGTTACAATAAGGAGGAATTCAGAGCAAAGCACTACAGTTCCACTTTAAATCAACCTCAACAGAATGACTTATATGTGAAAAACAATGATTTAAAAGCCTGATATGTCTCCTTTAAGTACAGAAGCAATGGGAAACTCAGAAACTACAGGTAGGACTGGAGTAACACGTTCAGCCACAGTGCTCATTATGTGTGTTTAACTTGTTTTGTTATAACAAGAATCGTAAGAAGAGTGTATCTGTCTTAACCTCAGAACATGTTGCCTAATATGTGTTTCCTTTTATTAAACTTTGTTTTTGTGTTTGCAGGATTGGTCAGTGCCTTTCCAATGTTTGGCTCCTCGTTCTTCTACATCCACAGCAGCAGCTCCACCACCTTCTTCGCCCCCTGTATTCTTGCTGTCAATCAACGGGGTCTCCACTTTCTGCACAAAAATACACATGTAAGGACCCCCCCCCCCCCACACACACACACACACACACAGACACACACATGATAAGGAACATCTTAGAAGTAGATTGTTATGCTGTAAAATCTGATCTCTGTGGTGCAGGAGCTGATGACAGTGGTCCCCCTGGTGGAGGTGCAATCTACTCGCACCCAGAGGCCCTCTGCTGGAACCAGTTACCCATATGTGGACCTCACTTTTGGAGATATGAACGCACAGCGGGTCATTCAGCTGCAGCTGGAGCAGGTATCACAGAGACACACTGGTGCATTTTTTTACGAGAAGCGTTGTGCGTTTTTGGTCCCGGAGCTGAGGCCGCCTCTGTTTATCCGCAGGGCCTGGAGCTGTGTCGAGTCATCGCCATGCAGGTAGAAAAYATGATGTCGGTGCGGGAAAAGAGGCTCGCCCTGCCACCCAGTGAAATCACCGTGCTGTGACAAGKGTTCTGCAACTTTCGTGAACATTTCCTGCACAATACGTTAAATCAGTCTACCTCCTCTCACCTTCAGGTGTTTCAKATAGCTCACACACATAAATTATAAATCTGCATTTTTCCTGTTCCACTCAAAGTTTTGATGGCTGCACGTGTTGTTGAACTGTTTAATAAATCTGAAGCACTTTTTCTGCACAGAATTTGTTAAACTCCAAGCAATCATCTTTGTTTTTACTATTCCAAAGTTTTATAACCAATCTGTACTGTTTTAATACTTTTTTATTATAATGTTGAACTGTAAATTTTGATATGTAAACAATGCCTTTATTTAACATAGTTTTTAAAGTATAGTTTATTATAATAAATGTAAATATTTTAAAATGAACTGTGAACCCTTTGAACTTATTCACTAAACCGATGAAATATTTAATAATAATAAATATTAGTAAAAAATGTTGGGATTAAATTTTTTATAGAATTTTAAAATAATTGCAGGATATTTGGTGATTAAATGATTCATGCATATTTTTAATGCACCTGTTGTTTGTGTTGTAAACTGATAAAAAGAACAATTGATTTTTTTTGCTCTGAYTGTTGAAAAAGAATTAAAAGTTAATTTAGTTTTTTGCTCTGACTGATTTTTATCAATATTTCAAAACAGATCAGCCAAAATATTTGTCTGCTCATCATTTTTTAAATACATTTTCCCCCAGTTTATGTACTATATACTGTAGACTACTCCTAGTAAATATCATGCAAATAGTAGAATGAGAAGTGCCTTCCAATAAGATTAAAATGCTTTGTTATACAACAGTAATGGAAAATATCACTTTAAACATTACAAAGTTTTGAGGTACTTTCTTGGTAAWTTGAAATGTGAGTAATCACATTTTCTGCAGCCCTATATTTTTTATTTCACTAAAGTTCAGGGTGAAAAAAGCACTAGATAAATTCAGAATACATAAGTTTTTGTAGGTTTAATTCTGGCCTCTATTTCTATACCTTTACTTTGTTTACTTGTGTCTTTATGCAGACAAGAAATTTGAAAACTTTTTTTTTTTTACCAAATTGCAAAGATAAAAAAGGGTAAGTAAGAGGTTAGTGGGACAAAGTTAGCAGCTGAGGATTTTACAGTGTCCTAAACAATCCTTTAATGGATTAAGCCCCTCCCACAAATTGACAAAATTACAACTGAGCATGCGCACAGACCGGCAGTTTTTACACGAGTTTATTTTCAGGTCTGTACATGGAGACGTGTGGCCAAGGTCTGAAATTGACCAAAGTTTGGATTTATTATTATGTAACAACTCGGTTTCGGGAGATTGTAGATTAATGACGTTCGTGGAGAGATCTCCGAAGCGTCCAGGTTTGAATTCTGTCGGTGACATGTGTGGGATGTTGCTGCGTGGTTTATCTAGAGCAGGCGGAGGCAGCTTGACCAAGCTAGGCTAGTCGAGTTAGCAGCTAATACCATTAGCCTCTTCGTTGTCTTGTCGAGCTTGGGTTGGTGTTGACGTAGTGTTTATTTACATTTTTATTTGCTTGTAAGGTTCGGGAAGTACAATTCGCACACTGTCACCAGAGTTTTGTTTCAATGCGAAGACAGTGCGGTGGAAGTTAGCGGATATTAGCCACTTTTTGTGCTCTTTGACACTGCTGCAGCTGTGCGATTCGGCTACTTAACGCTATTTGTCCTTATGTTTGGTCCGTCCATAATAGCATAGTAAATATGTGCTGAAACCCGCCGCTGATAGACATTTTTCGGCGAGGAGCAGACTTCGCAGCATTTAGCGGCCGTAGACGTAGTGTTTTGGCTGACATGGCAGCCAGCGGATTCTCTGACCTGAGGGAGAAACTGACGTCCATGACTCCGCACAGAGACGACCACAAGAACAAATACCCGGACCGAACCAGCAACGGCAGCGGAAAGGGCCGAAAGCGGAAGCACCGGGAGTCCGACGACGACGACTACGAGCACAGCGACGACAGCGCGGACCTCCGGGAGCAGGAGGCCCGTCGGGTGAGCAGCAGCGTCGTGCAGTGGAGCATCTTCACCCCGGAGGAGTGCGCCCGCATCGAGGAGAAGATCGACGAGGTGGTCGCCAAAGCGGAGGCTGGACATTACCGCGAGCACACCGTGGACAGGGCCCCGCTTCGCAACAAGTACTTCTTCGGGGAGGGCTACACGTACGGAGCCCAGCTGGAGAGGCGTGGGCCGGGCCAGGAGCGGCTGTACCGCAAAGGACAGGTGGACGAAATCCCGAGCTGGGTGCACGAGCTGGTGATCGAGCGGCTGGTGTCCAACGGGGTGATCCCGGAGGGCTTTGTCAACAGCGCGGTTATTAATGATTACCAGCCGGGGGGCTGCATCGTGTCGCACGTGGATCCCCTGCACATCTTTGCACGGCCCATCGTCTCCGTGTCGTTTTTCAGCGACAGCGCGCTCTGCTTCGGCTGCCGCTTCCAGTTCAAACCCATCCGGGTGTCGGAGCCGGTGTTTGTGCTTCCCGTGAGGAGAGGGAGTGTCACGGTGCTCAGGTGACTACAGCTGTCCTGCTTTCACTGCTGCTGTTCCTGTAGCTGCTCAGGTCTGAACATGCTTTCACTGAAATCCTCCTCTCCTTCCTAGTGGGTATGCTGCTGATGACATTACTCACTGCATCCGCCCCCAGGATATCAAAGAGAGGCGAGCAGTGATCATCCTCAGGAAGTGAGTCGGTGTGCAATTACATTCAAAGTGAACATTTATTAAGTTAAATCTGCCTCTCATCTCCAGAGTGTGTCCCCTTTTTCTGCTCTTTTTAATTTGGCCAGAACTAGACCTGATGCTCCTCGTTTGGACTCTGACAGCCCCTTGAGCTCTTCTCCTGCTGGGAGACCAGGTCCACTGAAAGTCAAGCGCTCGCATCGTAAAGCAGACCCTGATGCTGCCCACAGGTACACCGTTCACTCATACACATTTCAGGGAGTCCAGATATAAGGACACTCGACAGCATTAGATAATTAAATTGGTCGGCTGATAAATATGTTTATGATTTAGTATTGTCTCCATCTTTAACTCACAATCAAACCTAAAGTAAACTGTTGAATGATCATATTTTTGTAAAACAAATGACTTCCTTTTTCAATTTCCTGTGCTGTCATTTAAATGTGCATGAAAAAACACTGATGGGAACACAATTGAACATAAGAGGTGAAAGTGTGTGTATATATATATATATTCAGTTTTACCGCGGTATATTTTTGCCTTTGACTTCAGTTGGTGTTTAAAAAAAACATTACCGGCCTTTTACGTCTACATTCCTTCTTAGATGTGTAGATAAAATATATAAAAAGGAAATGTCACTATTGTTTTCTTTAAAATGCCAATACTAAGAGCCAGTAAAAGACAAACATTTGATGGGAAAATGAATTTATCAAGGCTGAAACTCATTTGTGCGGCACATCGAGCAGTATATTAGCACTGTTCCCTCACAGTAAAGTCCTGGATTTGAAACTGCATGTTTAWGCAGTGTGTGTGTGGGTTTTCTTCAGGTACTATTTAAGTTAATTGGTGATTTTGTTTTTAAGTGTGAGTTACATGGTTGCTGGTTTCTTATGTGGCCCTGTGAGTTTGTACCCTGCCTCAATGTTYTCCCCAAATACATGCTAGTGCAGTGCAAATACTGGTCAAATACAAAGTGACTCACATAAATCAATCCAAAATGTGTGTGTGCACCAGGCCGAGAGTTCTGGAGATGGACAAAGAAGAGAACAGACATCCTTCACTCTCCCGTCACCATCGTCACAGCGTCAGCTCGGAGAACAACTGGAGACGTGACGAAGACGACGACAAACACCGGGAAAGTTCGGGGCGCAAAATCAAAATGAGGCGTCACTGAGTTTTGTTTTTCTGTCACGTGCATGTATGCATATGAATATTCCTGCTCTTTTTCTGTATGTCAGTATTGTAACTTTGTTTAATCAGTCATTTTTGTTGATCAAGTTTAATTTTGGCTTGAGGATCTCCATCGTCTGTTTTATTTTGATTCTAGGTCAGCTTGAGTGTACATTTGTTTTTGATAGGAAAAAACTGGCATTTTTGCTGCTTGTTGCAGAMCCTTAACTTGCTCTCTGCAGTGAGGCTCTGTTAATCTGTTAGTTTAAATTAAACCTTTGTGTTTATAGATACTTCAAAATGGCATGTATTTTTTCTACTTTAGGAACTGAAAGGAAGACTTATGTATAGACTTGTACAAAAGCAAAACCCGAGCTGTAATCTAACTTGTTAAAATGTACAATATGTTTGTATAGCCTTTAAATGGGGAGCTTTCATAGAAAATGATTTTTTTTCCCCCACATCTACATTTCGGATTCTCCTACCTTTGCTGTGCCATTTAAGGTCTTCACTATTTGTTCACTTTAACCCTCCAGATTGTTGTTTTTTAAGTTGCAGCAGCTGGCACATGAGCAGCTTTAGATTTTTGGTTTGATTTAAKCTGTTATGATGGAGGTCACAGTCTGGTTAAAAAAAGCTAAACTTAAAGCTTATCTGGGTGTTGAAAACTCAGGACTTGTTTCACTCTCTTGTTTCAGTCTAAGGTTGCTTTATACCTTATATGACATGAACCATGTCGTTCCTGTTCTGTAATAAATCCAAAAAAAAATTTCCTTTAAGTCAGTTTGAGCCTGATTTGATCATAACCACTTGTGAATTCCTGGGGTGAAAACTCACTGAGTTAAAAGTTAAACTTTAATTTCTTTTACTTGTAGTTCACTGTGTAAACAATTGCTTACTTTCCAACAACCTTGTGTGGGAGAGTAGTTCTTAGCTGACAGCTAGGTTAGTCTGGGGTTACATACGAGTAAAAATAACTCCAGTTCGGAGGAGAAATTGCTTTCTAAAAACAGAATAAGTGAAATCCAGTCTGCTTCAGAAACTGAACAAAGGTTATCTGCAGAAAGCAAGCCCAAGATCATGCAGAGGACCACCTTTTTGTGATTAARGAAGTGTGGCCAAAAATGGTTTAAAACCAGCCTAGACAAACAAGCTCACTGATATCACTCTGATTATTAATATCAGCATTTAGTTAATATTTCAGATTTGTGTTTATGTTAAATTTTACTCAAACTATTTTCTTTTTTCACTGAAAAAAAATCTCAGTTTTTGTGTGTTTGCAACAAGTTAATCTTTAACATTGATGCAGCCCTGCTGAATTTGTTTTGTTTTTTAGACCTGTGTGTGCGGAAATGTTCCGTTCTTGGTCAAACTGGTGATCTAACACTAATAAATTTAGATTTATATGTTCTGAAGAGATATTAAAATTATAATCATGTTCTAGGATTATTTGAAGTCATTTGGAAAAAAAAGATGACTGGCCTTTTCTGTTTATTTGAATAATGTGCATTTTGCTTATACAAATATATTTATAATTTAATAAGACATGAAAGTTGTTCGTTTTTTCAATATATGGTAGAAGGTGACATGAGCTTATTCAGTGTGTCATCACAAAAGTGTGATCTTTCAACATGAAACGTTATGCGTCACCAGGGGGCGCCATATCCAACAAGAAATACCGACGGTAATTCAATAGACGAAGAAGAAAAAGCAGCTAACAGCTGTTAGCTAACYGTTTACGAAGTGAACGACATCAAGAAGGTGTTTTTGTTACAAAGAAAAGACGTAATTTCACAAACATTGATGGTCTGGAGTCACAGAATCATACATCTGTCTGTAACAAGTGGTGAGTATTTTAATAGAAAAATAACAAGTGTCATTGAATGCTGGCTAACATGCTAACCATACTCTTGACAGATTGCAGCTGTTGTTGAATGTTAACTCTAACTCAACTGAGTTTTCTTATATTTCTGTCTGTAATGACCTGAAGATAAATTCATTATCTATTGAAAACACGAGCACTTGAAAAAGCCCGTTTGTCACAACCAGGTTGCAAGAAAGAGAGATCATCATGTCTGTATTTATTTAGCATGATGCAAACTCTGCATACTACTACTAAAGTTGAGCTTGAGTTTCTTAGCTGCATAAATAAGACTGATACGCAGTTAAACGTGCTGTTCAAATCATTACGTAATAACATTAAGGTCAAGATTGAAGATAGTATGTACACGAATGAACAGGATTGTTTTAATTTGTTCAAATCTCACTAGTCGATGAACCCTGGTACAGTCACTTCTGATGTATGTATGGGAGACAAGAATCTGTTAGGTTATGACAAAGTCGAGTAAGTCGTGTAATAAATAAAACACTATTAAATCAAAATTTACTTAATTTTAATGCAATAAATTAATTCTGGGATTACACAAATTTTGTCCTACCAACAGCCATAAAGCAATCTGTTGGAAATAAACATTTATATATGTTATTGAAGTTAAAACATTCTGAGTAAAGAAAACATGCTAGTCTTCTTTCCACAATTGCCTGGTTCCCAATCAAATGTGTGGGACATCTTTGGTCAAAAATGCCATAGATCTGCTGTACCACATCTTATCGGAAGTTTTGGATTTATAATCGTTTCCAGAATTTTAAGGTTGAAAACTGGAGGCAGAGCCTTTAGCTTTCTGACGCCAGGACTGTAGAATCAGCTCAGTGTTTAAATACAAACTCTCTACCTGTTTTTGTTTTATGTATTAAACATAACATGACTTTAACATTTGAATGTCCATTTGTTTAACTGAGTGATCGTTTAATTTTGTTTTGCTCTTCAAGTTATTTTTTTCATATTTTCTTTTACTTTTTATCCATGCACTTTCTTCCAAGAGTTGTCTCTCTGTGGAATCAGTTTTTCACAAATAACACCCATTGCATGCAACCCTTGATGATGCTGTGAAAATGACACCAAATGATTGTGTTGTGAAAGAGCATGCAGGATCTAGCTTGAAGTAGTATTGATCTCCTGCTCCTGTTCACTGCAGAACAATTTGAAATAGAGGCTGTGATGTCATAAAGACCATTTTACCCTTCAATGGAAATTTTAGACAACTTCTCTGCAAATTTGAGCAGCTCACAGACTTGGATTATTTCAGATAAGAGTGCTCCCAAAAATCCGAAGTGCCATCGCTGTGTTTTCCTGTTCTGAAGTACCTGGATTCTGAATATATGTGCTCTAATGTAACAAAAAAGCTTGTATAAATTTGACCCAGCTAGCATGACTCAGTCAGTCGCATGTCAGGTTTATAAATAGAGCGTGCCCAAAGTGTTTGTACCCTGAGCCGCAGGCAGGGAGAGTTCACGTAGTCAAAAGATGTGTTGCGTTGTTTGTGAATCTCAAGTGCCTGGAGCAGCAGAATATGGGCTCAGATGGTGCACGTGATGAGCTTTTTTTAAAAACAATGTGTTCAGAACAGAATTCTGTTATGTGTCTAGGGCTGCAACTAACAATTATTATAATAGTCAATTATTTTTTCTCGAATAATCAGTGAATTGGAAAACAAAACAAAAAGAAACGACATTTTTAATTTTAACCTCTTTATTCCACAATAGAAAATTTGGACTGATATAGCAAATCATACCAAAAGCAGTTTGCCGTTAGAGAACTCCGTTACTATAATATTAAATTGTAATGCATAAATATGTAAATATTTGTCGAATAGCTTTACTAAAAAAATGAATGTACACAAATCTGTCCCCAAATTTGTGCCGTATCCTTGAAAGTCTCTTGAGCTTTGTAAAATGTGTCCTTGAGGGAAGAGTGTAGCCTGAAATAAAAGTGCAAACTATTCTAGTGAAGTCTTTATCTTTGACCATGGACAGTTTCCTGTCAGTGACGATCATCTTAAAAATACTTTCAGTCAAGACAGCTGCTTATTACAATAATTCAATAAATGCCTTGTTTTATTTGCAGTGTTAGCTTAAGGCAAGTGTCTTCACTCAGACATTGTCAGCGAATTAAAGCTAAATCATTAAATTAATACCATCACAAATTGCCCAACAAAACAGATCGATAATAAAATTTGTTGCTGACACTTTTAATAATCAATTTTTATCCATTAGTTGTTGCAGGCCCCATGTGTGTCTGTGAACAGGAAATGGGAGAAACATTTTCCTGCTGTGTTGGATGATTTGTTAAAGAACAGCAAGCTGTCCTGCTGTCAAATCTTTTGATACGTTGTTGCATGAAAGTTAAAATTTACAGTGTTCGATTTCTCTTTGGTTCAAAGCAACAATCAGTTATATTATTAGTGTGTTGATTATTAGTGATATTAGTACTTCTGTGGAAAATGTTTTCAAAGATTTTTGCATGTTTAATATACTGGATTTAAGCTTAACTCGACTCTCTGCTGTCCTTGCGGCGTGCTAACAAAGCTAGCAAGTAAAAGTCATGGCTGTCTCTTGGGGAGCCAGTCACAAACACCACCTAGCGACCCCACCCCAACCCCCCTTTGCCCCATCCAACCACCGCTTAATCAGCTGCCACACCAAACATGAGTAGGGTCATATGGACCCCACAAAGACAGTGCTAGGGTTAARCACTTTTCAGCTTTTTATCATAGAAATTTCTTCAGTTCTGATTGGAATTTTCTGTGAAGACACCTTCAAATCTAGCCTGGTAAAACCCAGCCTTTGCTTCATACAGAGGGTCTGGACTCTCAGCTATTGAGAAGCAATTTCTTGCTGTAGGCGTGGACTCTGTTGAAGTTTAAAACGATCAGATCTGATTTACCCAGTCGCTAATGTTTGGCCGTGAYGTATGCAGTGCGCCAGCTCAACCGTGAAGGAAGCTAAGAAGCTAATTATAAAAATGCGTGCGCTGTAAACAACCATCCACTACTGGGAAGAGAGAAGTACTGAGCCCAACAAAGTGGCGTAAAGGAGTTGGCTGCAGGCTTTGTGAGGCAACTTTAACATAATTTGGAAGCCTTGTCAACACGGACCGACTGGCTTTCATTCACTTCCTCCGCTGCCATTGCACAGAAAATCGACATCGTTCAAAACTCCTCTATCTGTTTGCTGATTGGCCCGGTTAAAATTCTACTGGAGAAATCCTCRTCTATGGGAGAAACCCCAGACTGAGCAGTGAAGGGAAACTTTGTAGGAAGGCAAAGGCCAGGCTACAAATCAGCACATTGTTAAAACCATCTCTTACAGGCTGCACGCTTTGTTTCTAACTCACACAAACTCACCACGTGTTCATAATGAAGCTTTGCCATTAGAAGTGTGGTTGATTAAATCAAACCTTCAACCTCCGGAGCCGTTTTAATGCAGATACATTATTAAGTGACAAAGTAATTTTAATCTTAATCAGTTAGGCTTATTGAGGGGGGAAAAAACTGCACAATTTGTGCTATTCACAATGTCTATGATAACAACCGGGTCACTGTGCATCGGAATTTTTGCGTAAACATGGCTGCCTTGTTTAAATATTTACCACTACATGAGATTATTTTTTTAAACCTGTGACCTTTCACCACAGTTACCAGTCAGACAAATCAATACTTTTAGCACCGTTTATGTAAACAGCCGAACTCTGATGTATCTGCGACACGTTGACAACGACGAGAAAAAACGTCACTGAACACACATCTTTAAGAAATGTTTATATGTCACTATTATCATTTTTTAAGTTATTAGTTGCTTTTTTGTGCAACTTTACACCTATTAATCAAATGAATCAAGATTTAATAAGGACTTTTCATCACCATAAGCTTGATGTTGCAAATGTGCATTTATGTGAAATGTTGCATTTTGCTATCAAACACTGTTAAAAGCCTGCATCACTTCCACAAACAGTTTCTTTAAAATTTTTGAAAGCATGCTATTTTCTACATAGGTTCAAATGCTAGATTTTTATAAAAGCTGAAAATATCCACACATTTGGTATCACCAAAAAAAATGATGGGATCACTTCACCTTAATGATATGCTTCAAGTTTAACAGCTAAAACAAGCAGTTTACCAATAATCTAGTGATTGTCCTGATATGACTTCAGTTTCAGTAACAAACAGCTCCCAGGTTTAAAGAAGTCGTCTGAGTTAGAAGAGTTCTGAAAATTATGACTGTTTTTTTCCCTTCTGCTGACAGTTATATTGCGTTTTTCTTTCTGCCCGTTTTCTTTTACCCACAAGACAGAAGCGATGAACTTCCAGAGCAGTCGGAGGAGAGGGGAAGATGGCGTGGCCGTGGTGATCGACTTCCTGCTGTCTAACGCTCGGCTGGTTCTGGGAGTTGGAGGAGCTGCYCTGCTGGGCATCGCCACGTTGGCGGTGAAACGGGTGAGCGGTTTTGAGCTCGTTAGTACCGCCGCAGTACTTTTTTACACAATATGCAGCGTATCAAGAGGTGTGGAAATAGATAACTCGTTCTAGTCATCAGCCAGCAAAAAGATAAAGAGCCCAGACATCTACCAGTTCTTTGACGTTCTCATCAGTACTCACCGTCTGCAGTGTTCTTCACGTGTCTTGGTATTTATTTTCAATCTATACTGCAGAGATGTGTTGCAGTCTGGAGAGGTCAGAGTCAGATGTGATTGTGGAAAACAGTAATTTAAAGACTTCTCAGGGTGTTGCCATCTATTTAAAGTAGTTTGAACCCACATATGTGCTGCATACATTTGTCCCTCTATGACTTGTTGTTTGTGACAGTGTTTTTTTTTTAAGCTCATAGAGCGAGCCGGCCGTGCAGCAGAAGATGAAAAGGTGGAACAGAAGATGGCAGAGAGCTGGGAAGAGCTGAGTTTAGTTTCTTCTTCTCCGACACTCCTCAGGAAGGGCTTGGAGGGTGTGGTTATGAAGCATGTCACCAAGGCAAACAGACAGCAGAAAGGTTTGGCATTTGATCAATAAACCTGTGATATCATCATGCTGTTTAATTYCCCAACGGACTTAACAGCTGTTCTTCTTTAATCAGACGACCTCTGCCAAAAAGCASAGCCGTCCTCTCCTGAGGTGCAGCCTCAACCTGAGTCCAAGACCAAGAGACAGCGGCTGTGTGTGCTTACTTTGCAGGTAAAGGCTGATACTTCACCTTTGACCTTTCATTTTGGATGAATGTCTTTACTCCTAACAGCTGCTCTGTGGTGCTCATCATGAAGGAATGTCTGAACATATTCTACTGTGTAATAGTCAGTAGATGTATGTTTTATTTTGAAGGATGAAATCCATAAATACGTGGTGCAGCTGACTGACTGTTAAAGTGACAATCTTAAACAACTCATCTTGTTTGCAAACAGTCTGCTGAGAAAACTACAACRTGGCATTCACATGATGTTACTTTGACACGTTCAGTCTGACAGAAATGCCCTTACGGTGCGAGCACAACAGAGAAATATCATCTCTTCAGCAGGACAACAGGATAGTTTATCCTTGTAGAAGTAACTCCTAGAAGCAGCTCCTTGAGGAGGGAAAGAGCTGCAGCCACACCTCACAATGGACTCAGTTCAGCTGGACCCACGTCAGTCTGGCTTCCTTTGCTTTATCAACTGAGACAGGGTTGAAATTGGCCTCTGTCTCTTTAAGAACCTCCTACCATTTCTGACACTCCCACATCAGCATGTCTTCACAGCAATGCTTCATGCTGTTTACAACCTTTTGTGGGAGAAAAGTCCAACCATTTTTGATGAACTGTGTCATCCTTAGGAATCAATAAAGAKGGTGATTTCCTCCTTGGGATCCAAAAATACACCCGCTTTGGATGTTATCATCCATTAAATGGACTTTATTAGCAGTTCTCTGTCCCATAGAATGGCTTCAGACTGTCAGTTGCTTAATATGAGGCACAAAGCCGCTAAGGTTAATTTTAGAGAAAATGACATGGGCTACGATAAAGCTGACTGGACTCTGGCAGATTGTTGCCTTCCAACGTAAATGGCACTGGTTACCCACTAGGGGGCACTGTCGGGACAGTCTGAAGTCATTCTATGGTACTGATAACYGCTCATAACGTCCATTTAATGGACTGATAACATCTGAACCAGCTGCAAAAATACATTTCCTCGATGAAGGAGGACTGGACTGAGAAGTAGTTAGTATTACAAGGCCATCAGACATGCAGTTCCACCAGGTCTGTGTTGGGGAGGCGCAGAGGAGGTGCTTTCTGTGGGGCGGGAGCTTTGCTGCAGACTGAGTTGTGTAAATAGGCGGTGMTTTGTACCAGCAAGCATTTAGGCAGCTCCACGTGGCTACCACAGGAGATTGAAGGATTTCTCAAACATGCATAAATGAGGCAAAACAACACTCTGTTTTTAAGTAGGGAATGACATGATAGCATGATATAAAGCTCAAAAAAGTTAACTTTGCTTAATACCACCCCTTTAAAAACCTGTTTTTAACCCATTTAACCTGCTTTAGGAGCGTCTGGAGCAGTATTATCGCACCAGGGTGGCCCTTGCTCCAAGTGAGGTCCAGCGGGCTCAGGCTCTGGCTCTRGACATCTGCACAGAGATCCAGGGCTTTCTTCACAGCAGTCACCCCGACATGCCTCTGGGAGAAATGAGCCTTGGAGGTTCTCTGMTGGACGACTTGCAGGTACATTTCCCATCACTCGGGCATGTTGTGGTTCCAAGAGGATGTTGCATAAATCCCACCTGAGTTTGGTTTTCCTACGAATGTGTGTGTTTAGGTGGTGAGTGCAGACCATGTGTCTCTGCTGGTGCCTCTGCAGCTGGACCCTTCTTTGTGGCGCCCCATCCCCGGGGAGGAAACGCTGCTCACACACCCTCTGCACTGGATGGTCCGACGGGTCAATCTGGAGTACTTCCCCCGAGGACGCAGTTACTGGGACAGGTACTCGACCCGCAGATTATAAACTGAATCGAGAAGCATTGAAATCTAAAAAAAAAAAAAAATTTCGCATCATTAAAATAAACAAACTCAGACTCAGCTTTTGGTTTAGTTTTACATAAAATCCTGAGTGTAGTTTTATTACTCGTCCTGTGTGTTGTAGGTATCTGGTGGGCGGTTACCTGTCAGCAGAAGCTGTAGTGAACATGTTCACTAAGGCAGTGATGGAAACGGTGAACTGGCTGTCTATCAGCAGCACTTTGGACTGCCTCGTCAGACCTGTGCTGGGAGGTCCGGACCTGAAGATAGAGATCAGGTTTGTGTTTGTTTTTTTGAATTTTGTTTGTGTTTACTTTCATTGTTTTCCCTCAGCTTGTACCACAGCAGTTACACTCTTAAAGTGATCCATGATTAGTTGTAACATTAGACTTTATTTGATAAACATATATTTTAACTGTAAAATGAAGACTGTAAAAATACTGTAGACTTTTTAGTTTTTATAATCTTTAAACTAAAAGTTTAAAAATATGTTACACGGACAGAGCCATTTTATTTACACGCAAAGCATTCTGGATAAATGATGACGTGGATAGGTCCTCAGTGCGGACACGAATTCCATGTCAATATAATAGAATCATAGCACTTACATGTATGGGCGTCATCTATGGTACATGCAGAATGCCGAAGCTGAAGAAAAAAGGGGAGCTGAACTCAGGTCCGTCCTCCCCTTTTATACGGACCGAGGTGAGGCCCACGTCACGTGGGGGCGTGGACTATTGGTCTTCAGAATGCGCGTACGCGCACGGGGGTACCCATCTGCGATAGCCTTAGAGGGCGGAGCTTACACGAAATAGAACCTCAGCTTAGCCTGTTAGCTTTAGCATTAGCCCCAACGCTATCACCATATACTGTACTGTATATGTATTAGCTCAGCGCTACACATTCTCTCGTCACTGAGGTCCTCCATCCACATGACAGAGAGGGGAACACAAAAATGACTCAGCTGTAACTGAAAATATGGATGGAGCACCTCAGCTTAGCTTGTTTGTCGTGCTAGCACTGAGCTAATACATAAAAGGCAATATAGCATTGGCGCTAGCATTATTATTACAGTCTTTATTTTAAAGTTAAAAAAATGTTTATCAAATAAAGTCTAATGTTACAACTAACTGGGGATCCCTTTAACAAGTTATGTTTTAGGTTGTAAAGCTGATGAATTCACTACAAATTAGACTGTTTCCTTTAAAATATTAATGTCAAGTATTGATTTGTTTTGATTTATTGGATGTAGATCTGAATGCTAGTTTTACTTTGATAAATTGCTGCATTGCTGTCTTTTTTAAACACCCTGTCTTTGTGTAATGTTTTAGGCCCGATTGTGAAAAAGAAGGAATGGAGTGCAGCGACCAGCCGCTCTTCGTCTCCATGTTGCCCATTCTGAGCGAGGGAGACGTGGTTCTGACCGCTCAGCCTGAGCTCACCTCTCCCTGGGTGAACGCCTGGCACCTCTCCCTCTACCCCTGGGAGACGCAGCGTTTGGCCCAGTTGGACGCCGCTGACGGCGGCTGCCGCAGACACGCACTCAAAGTCCTCAAGGCGGTGTGCCGACTAAGCCCCGCTCTGCGACCGCTAAAGGCCGCCCCGTTGGCCAATCTCATCCTGCACCTCAGCGACGGTGAGCGCGACTGGTCCGAGAGCAGCCTGGACGTCAGATTCCATCAATGCATCACTGAGCTGATCGGCCACCTCGAACAAGGCGCCTTACACAGTTACTTTAAACCTGCTGTCAATCTGCTGAGCGGCTTGTCGGAGGATCAGGTGGACCAGGTGGGCTTCATGCTCTACTGTGCTGTGTCAGAGCCTGAAATACTGTTCATCTAGGTCTGTGCAGCACGTCACGTTACCCTGACGCGAAGAAGAGAGGGACAGAGATGGAAGACAAATCCAACAAGTTGTAATAGATGTGCCAAGAAAAAGAAGACGTTTTTGAGTGTTTCAGGATGCCTCTGTTCTGCTGGTTCTGCGTTTTATTTTGAGTTCTTGTCTTTTGTTTGTTAATGGTCCTCATTCCTTTTCCCACCTAATTATCTGTCAGTGTGCCATCTGTGTTTTCAACATACTGTTCATTTTGTTCAATTTTGAACCTATGCACAACAGCAGAGACAAACTGCTGAGAAGCACCTCAAAYTGCTGCTCTTACTGTATCGAATGACTCTGATTCTAACTTATTTAATTTATTATACAGAGAGCTTAGATCTCTGTTTAATCCTCTCAGTCCTGCGATTAGTTATTATAAATAATGTGGGCATGTTTCAGGTGCGTTTTTGTGTGGCTGTAAGACATTTTTTGTGTGCGAGTGAATGAACAGAACTACCAATAAAAAAATCAAGTGCTTTTTTTATGCTCTAATGTAATAAATGGGTGTTGGTTTCAGTTAACCAGAAGAAACTAGATGGCTCAAATTAAATAACTTTAATTTTACTAAGAAAAAACATTTGTTTGTATTTGTATTTCTCCTTATTTCCTTGTATTTTTTCCATTATTTTTGTTCTCTTTGCTTTTCTTTTTTGCGTTTGTTGAGATAAAGATTAATTTGCCTACCGTAATGTGTGAACAAATTCAAAGTGATAATAAGGTCAAAGGTTTTACTGATAGACTACATCTTCAAGGCTTTTATTTCAACATTTTGAAAACACATTTTACTTCAATACCACTGTGACAGGCCAGACTCAAATACAGTTTGTTATACTGAGATGTAATATGAGGGAAAGCTTTGAAACTAAATTTCCTGTTTCTTGTCCCTCCCAAAACTCAATAATTAGATTTCAGAGGCCACTTAAGATTAAATAATTTAGTCATAATATAGTTCAAAAAATGATAAATTGAGATTATATAAAATAACGTGAAAAAACATAAGATAAAATAATTTATCATTAATGTAAATATACACAAAGAAATAAAAAATGCAATGCAATTATCTGATTGACACGTATTGATAAATAGTTTTCAACAGGAGGCAGCATTACGTTTGAAAGAGTCAAACCTACTGGAAAATACCATCAGTGAAGATGAATGAAACTTTCACTTCCGGGGTTAGGTTCTGTTGTGTTGGACTCGCGTGTTAAAAAGTTTCCGTCATTTTCAGTCCTTTAAAGGTACGTACGCTTTGTTGTCTCATATGAAGACTGAATGAAATGCATTTGCATTTTTGTTTCACTTCAAATGCTATGTTTCCGGGTGAAATAAGTAAACAATCTTACTGCTTTGAGGAACACAAACGACCCTATCTGGTTTCTCAAAAAGTTTAAAACAGGTTTATTTCAACYGGTGCTGGCTTCAGAAGTAATGCAGTATTAGTATTGGAGACGATGCTTTAATCATGACAGCATGACATTAATCCTCAAACAAAATATAACAAAAAAAAAAACGTGATTTTTCAGTGAGAGCAATTCACAATAAACTACGGAGCCCGCGAGGGGACATGGGGGATATTTTTTTCTTTTTGCGTTCCCTCGCAAAAGTCGTGTTGTACCTGCCGGTTTATTAACAAATTCACCTGCTCAGTGTTCACCGTTAGCGAGTTAGCTTACTGCTTTAATTCAGCTTCAGAATGAAAATATCACACAGCCACTCATGGAAGTATGTCATATGCTAATATTTTAACACAGTGCAGCCACGCAACATCAATGTCAATTTCACAAACTTGTGACATCCTGTTTGGGTAACCGGATATTTCAAAATAAAAGTCTGATTYAATTCAGTTCATATACAAAACAATTTTTTTGCGTGGGAACGCAAAAGTAAAAAAAATCCCCCCATGTCCCCTCGCGGGCTCCATACTAAACGAACCAGTTGTTGCAGGGACTGAAACTGATTTTTTTTGTCACTTTCTCAGAGATTAGTTATGTGCACTGCAGGGAACAGTGAGGCTATAATTATCCTCAGTGATGATGATGAGGAGGAYGACAAAGAAAAGGACTTATCATGCCTCATCGTAGATGTGAATGATCATGGGAAGAGTCCTGGTAACCACACTTTTGATCTGACATCTCTGCTATTTGTGCAAGTGTACTGAAGTTATTAACACCTGTTTGTGTTTCAGACCGTCTCCCAGCCTCAAGTGTTCCGGACGAAGACCTGGTTGTAACGTTCTCCCGTCGTGCTGACGTGCTGCCTCATGCTCGTCACGACTGTCCCGTGCACCCATTCGTGTAAGAAGCTGATCGCAGYGCCAAGCGAGTTACTTCGACATCAYGACGTGTCTGAAAATACAAAAAATACACACTGCTACTTTTCTGTCGTCCTCAGGGCTACAGAACATGAGACCGGACGKCCGTTGGCCAATAATGAACTCTTTTGTGAGCAGTGCTTCTGTTTCGTCTGTGACAAACTGGCGTCACAGGTGTGTTTATTGTGTCCGTCTTCCTAAATTAAAGACGTATTGTAATTCTCTGTTGCTTTACCACTTCATTTGGGATGTCCATCCATCCATCCATCCATCCATCCATCCATCCATTTTCTTCCGCCTATCCGGGGTCGGGTCGCGGGGGCAGCAGCTTCAGAAGGGAGGCCCAGACCTCCCTCTCCCCAGCCACTTCTTCCAGCTCCTCCGGGGGAACTCCAAGGCGTTCCCAGGCCAGCCGAGAGACATAGTCCCTCCAGCGTGTCCTGGGTCTTCCTCGGGGCCTCCTCCCGGTGGGACGTGCCCGGAACACCTCACCAGGGAGGCGTCCAGGAGGCATCCTTACCAGATGCCCGAGCCACCTCAACTGGCTCCTCTCGACGTGGAGGAGCAGCGGCTCTACTCTGAGTCCCTCCCSGATGACCATTTGGGATGTGTACACACAAAATCCATCTGAGCCAAATCGGTCTCATCCAACATGTACTTTTGTTCTGGTATAAAGAGAAATGTTAGCTCAAAGATACTATAGTTGTTACGAACATACGTACCCTGAGCTTATGTCTAAAAACGTTTGCCTCTTCAATAAGCACATGCCTTGTAAACCCAGCTAAATATTTTAGAGATGCGTCACATTTCTCTCAGGAATTTATAAGTTATTTTATTATTTGTGGGGGGGGGGGGGGTTTCACCACTTGTTKGCACCACAGCAGGTCTAAAAWGTATTTTAAATAGAGTCTAAGGAGGTCTTATTGTTGACTTTCTTATTTTTCACTGAGAAGTAGTGATGTGTGTTGTTTTGTCRTGTTGATTTTTCAGTGTGTTGTGTGGTGTCATAGCGGAGTGTGTCACTGCAACAGCCACATAAGGAGCAACTTCTGGAGACAAGTGCGAAATGTTCACCTGCTGGGTGATCTGGCAGCGTTCAACCTGGCTCTGAGCGAGATAGACTCTCATCTCCGTCACGCAGGTACAGCTTTCACCTTCACGGTTAAAGAGGTTAAGTTCGCTGGTCGGTGATCTGCTTTACTCAGGACCACGTTTGTTCCTTTCTTTTCAGCCACCATGCTGCAGAACTTCAAAGAKCAACTTTCTAAACTCTTCTCATCCTATAGTTTGACAAACAACCAGAAGTCAGACCAGAGCCGACTTGTCCAAGAGTGAGTCATTGTGATTCGTTTTATTTATCGTTTTATCAGTGCTTTTTAACAAACGGGAACAGCGTTCCTGCAGATCCTTTAAAAAGTTTTAAAAGGCATTGAATTCATCAATCCAAAAATAAGGCCTTAATTAGCCTTAAAATGTCTTAAATCGATCTTTCAGAAACCTTAAAAATGTTAACACATTGTAAGTAGGATGATTGTAATTCATCTCAAATATTAAAATAATTGGTAACATTTTTTTAATATTTACATGCAGACGTTCTCCTTTGACATCACTTCCTGTTGCTTAGATGCAAATATCTCAACAACCGTCCATCTGAGCAGTGTGACATTTGTTTTGTAATATGTTAATAATGTTGTCATTTCAAAAATGCATTAACTGTTCTTAAAAATTTTGATGTCACAGGCACTTTAAGGTTTCACCTACAGCAAATTGGGGTTAAAATCCCACTGTGAGTCCTAAAACTCTAAATGTTGGGTCTTTAAACCGACCACTAAGAATCAAACCCCAAAACACGTTGCGACAAAGATTAGTTCACCCCAAAGATCCAGTTTCCCTACAAAAACAGAGTAATATAGTATATGCTGTTAAGTGTCAGGAGGACTGTGATCAGTCATACATCGGGGAAACAAAACAGCCACTGTTCAAAAGAATGAGCCAGCACAGACRAGCTACWTYRTCRGGTCAGRACTCTGCAGTTTACACTCATCTACAGGCCAGCGGTCACTCTTTCAGGGATGAAGATGTTCTCATACTTGATAGAGAGGAACGTTGATTTGAGAGAGGAGTGAAGGAAGCCATCTTTGTGAAGAAAAACATCCACCATTAAACCGAGGTGGAGGCCTTCGTGTCCAGTTGTCCTCCTCCTACAATGCTGTTATTGCAAGTGTGACTCAGCCCCCTGTGAGCAAAGGGTGTGAATCAGGGCCCCAACGATAACCAACACAAAGAGGGAAAATAACAAAAACAAGGGGACTTTGAGCCCCGCCTGCATTCACTACATACACATGACACAACACCTAAGAACCACAGCCAATAAGTCAGGTGACGGGGCACATGACCCTCTATGAACAATAGAGCTAATCAAGCCTATTGTTAAGCGATGGCCCTCTTTTGCATTTGACTGACATCTTTGTCCACCATGTGGAGGCAGTGCTTATAAGGCTGAGTTCACCTGAAACTCATCAGACTGAGGAAGTCTCTTGGACAAGAGATGAAACGTTTCACTAAAGAAGAACCCATCCAGAGGACCTACTTATTTTTTCTTTTTGATTTTTTTCTACCTGAATTACTGAGATGCATCAGGACAGACTACTAAGAATGTTTTTTTGTTTTTTGCTATATTTGACGAAAAAGCCGTTAGATCTGGATAAAGGAAGTTGATCTATTATCAATATTTGAATTCTTCAACCAAAAATACTTTGATTCATGTGTTTCTGCTACAGTTTTATTAATTTATTTTTTGTCATTTTTGTGTTTATAATGAAATTGGTCTTAATTTTAATTTCAGTTGGCATTAAAATGTCTTTAAAAGTCTTAAACTGAACTTGCTTTAAACTGTAGGAACCCTGGGGAATGATTTGGAGTATCTGATGTAATGATGGACGGCTGAGGCATTGCATCGGTTACAAAATAAAACACGTTCTGTACAAACCTATTGTAAACAGCTGATCAGAAAATGGTTCAGAAATGTGAAAAAAAAGAAAAGTGATTTTTTATTTATTTTCCCCCTCCAGTTACACGTCTGTGTTTGAGTTTGTGTCGTCGTTCCTGAACGAAGCAGATGAGCAGGACTGCAAAGCAGCAGCCATCATGCATCTCGGAGCTGCCAAGCAATTCATCACACATTTCCAAGTATTGAGGTACATGGAGACGTAGCACCTACTTCTAGATTAGGTTCAAACTTCAAATTCACATTTTATTAATTCACATCATAAAAATGTTTTTTATGCAGACCTACAGGATCATCCCCAACATCTGAAGTGTCTGCAGCTAAGATGATGCTACTGCAGAGGTGAAAGCCCTCACAGACTCCCAGTTTATGTCAAATCATTGCCCTTTTCTTGAAGATATTTATTTTATTTTTCACGTTTTTGTTTTCAGAGTAATCAAAACAGTCCAGAAGCTTATAGTGATGGCTGATCTTCAACCAGAGTTTATTAAAAAGCTGCAGGATTTTTACCAGAAACAAATTTTTTTCCCAGTTGAATTGAGGAGACTAAGGAACAGGTGTTTGCCGATTATTTTCACTTTTTTTTCAGTTTCATATTAAAACCGTTTGTATACTTTGAGCTCAGATCTGTGTTGATGTTTTCCCAGCCTTCAGATTCGTCTCTGGGACGACATCCTGCTGGTGTCGGTGCTGAGGGGACAGAACGTGACGGGCGACCGGAGGTTCCGAGGAAGGAAGGACGTCCTGGTTGAACAGATTTCTGTGGTTCTACTAAGAACTGAGCTCCTTCAGCGTCGGCGCAGGTTCATATGTTTACACGCATGCTCAAGCTTCTTTGTGTGTCCTTAAAGCAGCAACCTGCCATGAAGTGACTGGAAACAAACGTGTTCTAATGTTTTACAGATACAGAGAACTGTGTCGATATCTGCGAGCCGTCCAGACGGACAGTTTCACACTGTGAGTAAAAAAAAGCTGCTATTTGTTAGTTTTTTTATTGTTAATGTTAAATTTCAACATATTGCACGACAACTTTGCTTAGAGCTAGCTGTTAGTTTTTTTTAGCATAATTTCGCATGAACCACTGGACATAGCTTTTCTTGATTGTTTCTGAAAGCAGCCTTCATACTCTCAGAACTCTACACACAAATTCAAAACCACACACACACACAATGGGCAAAACCCCTTAACTTTTAAATTTTGAATTACAGCGTGTTCCTTGTGAAAGCAACAGATATTCTTCATAAAAAATGTGCCAAAATGCAGAGAATTCTGTGTAGTGTTTAAAAAAACGCTACACAATTTAGAACTGCAGGAGTTGTGCTTGTGGCTCAGCAGAATGTTTAAGGGAGTTGGTGCTTAAGTTGCATGTTGTGGTCATTGATTACCAGAAAATATGTGTAAACAATAGAGAAGTCAGCTCAGGTCAACATGGTTGCTGCAGCTAACAAAACGTTAATACACTGCCTGGCCAAAAAAATGTCTCCACCTGGATTTAACTAAGTGCTATGATGTGCAGTTGGTCAGGTTCAGGTTCAGCAACAGTCTGTGCTCAAAGAATGAGGTCAGCTGAATATWCTGAATGACCAGGTTATTCCATCAATGGATTGTTTCTTCCCTGATGRCACGGCCATATTGCAAGATGGCAATGCCAGGATTAGGCATGGGACGGTATGAAATTATGACGTTTTGATAACCTTGGGCAAAAATATCATGGTTTCGCATTATTACAGTATTATGATTACAGCTCTAAAAATTTTGTGTTGAAATTTGTATTTCAAAACAAAAAAAAACTTTTCTATTATCATATTCAACTTTATCTTTGGAAGCTGTTTTTAAGTCTTTTTTATTGAACTAATGTATCACGTTGGGAGTTTTTATTGTGTTTTAAATTTCAAAAGGGTTTTTGATGTAAAGATATAATTATGCACACAGAAACAAGAAATCACAAGTATGAATGCGTTTTTATGAACCGTMTGTTCAGCTAACAAGCTGCTCGGAGGCATTCAGTTTTATCACCCTTCACTTAAAACTTATCAAATGCACAATCCAACAACTCAGTTTTGCAGACAAGCTGTGATCAGCGCATTAAGCCACAGCAACATGGTGACATGYTTCGCAATCTRATGCTAAAGTTAGCTCGTTCATTTCAAGAGAGCATAACTTTACCTGGAGCTGCGATCATGTTAGATGTGTTGCCTCCACTGTCCACATTGCCGTCATCTTTACGGCATCCTAAGTATTTTCAAGTAGCTGGCGTTATTATTTTAGACAGGGAAAAAGTTTGGGGAACTCTGTTCTTCAGCCACCACACAACCCCCGCAGAGCTGCGAGTGCCGACAGGCAGTCTGCTATGGGAGTGCACGGGGGGAAAGTCTGCAGCGGCACAGACCAGAGGAAAAATAAACAAAAAACACTTTCCGTTCTGCCATACCRTAGGCACGGTTTGACAGAAAATTTTAGTGGTTTTGAAACTGTGACTTTTTCATATCAACAGTATACCTTGAAACCGGTATTTGGCCCATGCCTAGCCAGGATTCATCGGGCTGGAATTGTGAAMGAGTGGTTCAGGGAGCATGAGACATCATTTTCACACATGGATTTTCTCCACAGAGTCCATTAAGAATCTTTGGGAAGTGCTGGAGAAAATCAGACTCTACCATCATCGATGCAAGATCTTAGTGAAAAACKAATGCAACACTGGATGGAAATAAATCTTGTCACATTGCAGAAGCTTATTGAAACAATGCAACAGTGAATGCGTGCCGTATTCAAAGCTAAAGGTGGTCCAACCAAATATTAAAATAAATATGTGTGACCCTTTTTTTGGCCAGAGATTGTATAATTTACTACACTAGAATTTGGTTTTGTAGTAGCTGATGGTCACTCACAAAACTTACTACAAGGTTTACAAAACTGCACAGGATTTGCACATAAAGATTTACTGTTTTTCTTGGTTGGTTTCTTAAAGAAACTGGAGATTAGCATACCCATCTTAGCTTCATTTGTAAACAATTCTCTGTAACACATGCCTGCTTGTCTATAACTGTATTTCCACACATTCTTCAATGATGTGTCTAATGCTGTAAGTGTCCTTGGGTGTCCTGAAAGGCRCTTTTCAAATAAAAKTATTATTATTATTATTATTAATAATAATAATAATAATAATAATAATAATAATAAGTCCGAGGTAGAGGATTCTGAGGAAGAGGAGTCTGTGTGTGAGGTGGAGGTGTATTTGGAAGGACTCAAGATTCAGAAGAAATTCAGGCAGCTTTTTAGTGTAATTTGGTTTTACTTTGGTTTACGTTGACAGTAATTTCAGCCACAGTTTGAAAAAAAATCAACATGGAATCAATAAATTTGCAWCAAAGCTTTTCTGATTCCGGATCCAATTCTTTGCAAGAAGGAGGCTTTGACCCAGTCTGTGCAGAAAGATAACAATCGACATGAAAGAGATGCAGTGGGCTACAAAGACAAGCAATGGTGCACCGAGGGTCGTATTTCGGTGTCCATTGACAGATTAGAACAGCTCAGACACTTGGAAGCAACTTGTGTTTTTTGGAGGCAATAATTACTTTTGTTTCATATAGTATTTTAAATGTTTTGGCACATTTAGAGGCTTTTGCAAATGAAATGTCACTTAGACCATCACTGTTTAGGCCTCTGTGTTCACTGAGTTGACAATCAACAACAAAAAAAGATTGCTTTCTTTTTTTCTTGTCCAATAGCTTCCAGCGGGTGCAGGACCTCGTCCCTTATTTCATGTGCTTAAACGGGGACTTCATGTCCGCTYTGATAAACCTCTTCTCTTCAACCGTTGCCCCCGCCTCCCGCTTGACYCCGCAGCTCTTCCTCTTTTACCTCCGGGTGTTTAAAACGGCGAYGGCACCAAAGATGGTGGTCAGTGAGCCCGAGCAGCTGTGCTGTTCTGATGCATCATGGGAGCCGATAAAAGGTCAGGCAGATCGATTTGTTTTAATCTCCTGAATGTGAGAACCTTAATTTTTATAGTTCTCTCTCCCTCTCTCGCTCTCTCTCTCTCGCTGTAGATAGGGTGCCACTGAAGTGTACTGAGCTGGTTAAGTTTGCTCTCAAGGCTCAGAGGTTTTCCTCGTCAGTCTATGCCGACGTAAGTTTGAAACTCCTGTTTTTCTCCTGTCGTTGAGCTTTGAACCAGAAACTTTGCAAACAGCTCGATGCATGCCTTTAAGACGGGGATGTCCAAAGTGTGGTCCTGGGGCAATTTGTGGCCCCTGAACTGATTTTGTGTGGCCCCTGACTTCAGTTCAAGAATTATACTAATTTGTTTACAAATCTGTCCCCCAGGAACAGGTGTTTGATGTAGATGGAGACTTTCTATTTATTATCAGGGCAAATTTATCACAAAGTAAAATCTTATAATAAAAAATATATTGGCAACAATACCAATTATTTATCTTTATAAAACCAGACTCGTAGCTTTAGTGACTTCTACTCAAAAGCTGATTTTGCTGCACTCCAATCTGCTTTTAATTAGTCTATTAAATTCGTCTGAATACAGGAAGCATTTACAATGAAAGAGTGACTTAAATCCTGATTTTATCGATTAGAATTGACTAAATTGGGTTGTTTATTCCCCGAATGAAACAGAAAATTGCTACTTTTCTTTCAATAAGGAAAATCCTGCAAAACACTTTTGGAGTTCTGGATCTTGATTAATTTACACATCCATTTCCAACAATAAATCTGGCTACTCTATTTGTTTAGTTAAAATATTGTTGAGCAGGTAATGAAAAAAAAATTTTGCCCTTCAAGTCCTTCTGATTTTATGATTTTGGCCCATGTGACAAAATGTTTGGACACCCCTGCTTTAAGACAGTTTTTTTAAATCTGAATATTTTTAAAGCTGTGATTGAATTGCTTCACATTTACTCTCATCCAGTCTCAGTGTTGGAGCAGTTTGCTCGAAATCGTCAACTCTCCTCGTGACTCCACCGTTCTGCCTGCGCCCAGTCCACAGTTTTTACAGGTGCGTTTTTATTCCATAACAGATTTTGAGTTTCATCGTTTTTCAGCTTTGTGGGRTTTTATTTATTTGTTAATCAAGTCATTTCTATCCCCTGCGGTTAAAGGAAGCTCGACGGCACGTAAACGCTCTACTGCTGGATCGGCAGGATTCCAACCTGCAGATCCCTCGAACTTTCCTGGAGGTCAGTGTGTAAAAATGTACACGTCAGAGTTCAAACTGGTGTGCAGTGTTGTGCAAAAGTTTTAAAGTACTGCACAATATCACCTGGTTAGGCTAAGGTTTGCCTGTGTTTGTGTTAGCAAAATATTTCATAAACTGTGAGACCGTCTGACTCTTTGGAAAGGAAACGTAAAATGAAGGATGACTTGAGATTTTCACCAGGAGTGGTTATAGACTAATCGACTGTACGTACATGTGTTGTTTTGTTTTCAGGTGTACCCTGATCAGGCCTTGCTGCTATTGGTAACGGGAGCTCTAGGTCTGAGAATCATTTATGCGTCTCTGAGACCAGCTCTACCTGTGCTCAACACATTTAAGGTAACTTCCCGCTTGTTTTTTTGTTTTGTTTTGTTTTGTTTTGTTTTTACATTAGAAAAGTGTTGTGTCCCTTTATTCAGTCATTTCTTCTGATTTTATTAAACGTGCAATTTTGTGTCATTGATTCATCCACAGCTTCACAAAAAACTGATGTGCAAAATTCATAAAACCATATTTTATTCAAGGTAATATAAGAATTTTAAACTAATTGAAGAAACTGTACCATTTGTAAACAAAGGGTAATTTATAATTTTATTACATTTCATCAGAGTTGTAAATTAACGAAGTACAAATACTTTGTTACTGTACTTAAGTAGAATCTTTAGCTATCTGTACTTTACAGCCTGCTTTTTACTTCTACTTATTACATTTTCACACAATTATCTGTACTTGCTCCCCAATACATTTTTTTAAAAAAGGCAAGAAATAAAAATTAATTACTTTTATTTTGTTTTTGCTTGTTTTCATTCCAGCTTATTGTAAAAAATAAATCCTATCCAAATAAATTGTGCCTCCTAGAGTGAATTTAATTGTGGTTGAATGAGAAGAATAAATATATAAAATTCTGATACTGTATTAGTTTGTACACAAACAAATCATGTCACACTCCAGTGGGACATGGCAGACATATGTAGCCTAGTATAAGCACTTTGTTTGTTTGTTTGGGAGGTCACCTCCTAATAAATGTCATTACTGAAAATCTAACTGCTCATTTTAAATCAATACTTTTATTTTTATTACTTAAAGTACAAAAATTATCAGATACTTTAAGACTTTTACTCAAGTAATATTCCTAAAGGAGACTTTAACTTTTACCAAAGTAATTTTTTGGTAAGATACTTGTACTTTTACTCAAGTATCACTTTGTCGTACTTTATACAACACTGCATTTCATGACCTCTGAAACTGAGGACACCAGCTGCTTCACAGCTTTCTAAAACCTGTGCATACTTTTCTGCATTGATGGTGCCTTTCCACTTGTGTAGGCTACTCATTCCATAGGCACTAATGCACCCCCATACCATCAGCGAGCCAGGATTTTTGAACTGTGCGCCGGTAACAGTCTTGATGGTGCATATCCTCTTTATTAGAAGTCGTGGTTTCCAAAATGCTATATTTTGGTTCATCTAAGCACAGAACAGTTTCCCACTTTGTCTCAGTCCATTTTAAATGAAAATTATTGTCCCAGAGAAGTGTTCACATATATGGCTTTATTTTTGGATGATAGAGCTTTAATCAGCCTTTGTGAACTGTGAAGATCACGTCAATTTAAACCATTTTACTCTGTGCAAAGGTCCTGTCGATGTCTGATATTCAAAATAAATGGATGAAATTTGACTTTCTTGCAATTTCTATAATACTTTTTAAAGTTAGTAACAAAATCTGCAAATACTTTGTTTACCACTCTGTCATTTCCAGGCAGAAAGGTTTTAATAACTTTTATGACTGTTTTAAATTTTTTGGTCAAATATCTGGGGGTGAGGGGTGGAGAAATCGTACCATTCATTAAAGTGATTAAATGAGCTCTGAAGTTAAAAACAAGATTTTAAAGTTAAGATTTGTGTGTGTGTTTTGCAGGAGAACCTGTGGGCCTTTCAGTGGCTGTGTGAGAATCTGTCTTCAAGTGAAGAACGGTTCAACTCCTTCATTCAGGATATCACACAGGAGGCCAAAAACACAACAGGTGTGCGGGCATCTGAACACTCAGCAACCTGTTAGCTGTGCTGAATTTATAATTGGATATTTCTTTTTCACATTTCTGTTTGACCTAAAAATTAAAAAAAAGGAGTTAAATTCTACAACCAGAACGATGCGATTTGTGCGACAGATTTTGTGTATCCATGTTGAACCATAAAGCAGTAAAGAAACCGTGAGTCAACCTCATGATGACAGCTTGTGATCCGTTAGAGCAGGGGTTCCCAAACTTTTCCATGCCGTTAAATAATGATTGACAGAAAAACACATTTGATTTTATGATGATTTAAAACATGTATTTTATTTATTTATTTATTTATTTGCATTAGAGCACTCATAAACTTTGGCCCCAGTTACCTGCAGTGACTAAATGTTTTAAATCCTTTTAATATTTTAGGAGGCACCAAATGATCAGCTGTGAGCTCATGGGGCTACTGCTGGTTGGGGAACCTGCGATCACATGACCTCTTTTTGTTGCTTTATCAGATATAACCCACAACGAGTTATAGTTCATTATAAATCCAGCTCATTGAGAACAGGCAGTCTTAATGAACTGCTGTAGGTTTTATTTTTCTAACAAGTTCAAAAAAATAGAAGTTAGCTCTGAAGTTCTGGTTTGTTTCTAGAATCCCAAGTGATGATTTTTAACTCTTTTTTTTTTTTTTAAACTACTGCAGGAATTCAACTGGATATTACACTGGACCCTTTCCATGTGAAGCTGCCCCCACAGACTGAAGCTCAAGTCCCACAGCTCCCAGCAGCTTCCTCCTCTCCGCAAACTGCACACAGCTGAGCGCTGCACAATGCTGTCATGTTTCATATTTGTCACGCCGTCTTTTCACACGTGGCAGGAATGAGTGTCATGTGATGAGCGAACGCTGCTAAAAAAACAACAAATGTGGTCATTCTGATTTTAGCACAGATTTTACACCTTCTGTACTTCTAATCTGACATCTTTCCGTTCAGATTCTGCATTTGTTATTCTCCCTGTCATGGACTTGTGACCTGTCCAGGGTGTACCCTGCACCTCGCACTGTGACTGCTGGATATGGGCACCAGTGACCCCTGTGACCCTGAAAGGAATAAACAGGTATAGATAATGGATGGATGGTTATTCTGTGTGAGCGATTAAAGCCACAGCTCAGCTCTTTTGAGGCGTGGCCATGTGTCTTACCAGATAGTCAATGACTTTTTGAATGACCTTTGTTTTAGGTTTTTTTTCTGTTTTTTTCTCTCTGACCAGATTGAGTTTATGGTCTGAGGCAGCCCTCATGCAGACTAGCCATTAGCTCATCTATCCGGTCAGAATGATGTTTCATTTCTTTAAACTGTGTCCCATCCAAAGAGCCACCTACAAGCCAATAGTTAACCCTCTCCCTCTGAAATATGTTTGTTTGACTTTCTTTAAAATAAATTTTGTAAACACTGTATTCAATTTTATACATTGTAGCATTGCCTTTTGAAATCCTTTGGTTGAATAAAAGAGATTAGAAATAAGTGTGATTTGGTGAATTGCTGCTTTATTTATTACTATAAAGAACTTCTCAATAACTGTTCAAAACAATAATAATAATAATTAGCAAGTGCAGCATTTGTTTTTCTGATTTTTACACAACTGCAGTTTATTTGCTTTCATTTTTTTAGGTGTTAGACTTTTTTTTTTTTTAATTGCCACATGAATGATGCTGCAGCTGTGGGACATGGTAAAGTTCTCAGGGCCATTAATGTGTAAATTAAACATATTTTACTAAACTAGAAAGAAGAGGAATTTTTTTTTGTAAAGTATAAAAGCTGCACAGTGTGTCTTGTTTAGTTTTGTCAGAAATGAACAAATAGCTGCAGGTTTTATTTATGTCTTACAAAAGCGTGCTTTGAATTCACAAAAGTTGGTTAGGAATTTGGAGTCTGTTTATGTTTTCCAAAAATGCCGATACCACAACCTGTGTGTGTCCATGGCGTCACGYTGAGGTCGAGCCCTGCTGTGATCTTTTTCACAAGAAGGATCACAGAAAACAGTAACTGACTTGGAACAGCCTGTCGACCTTTGACTTTTTCCAAAAAGCTCACTCCTGTCAGCCCTCCGTTCACTTTCACTGACCCGGCAGAAATGCTTCAAATATCAGCAATGTTGCTGTTTCATTTGCAACTTCCCTTGACTTCAGAGATTTGGTCTGTTTTTCTCCTCTGTAGGCAGATTTTTCTAGGGCATGTGGTAACATTTTATACAGTAGTGACGCCACATACATTTGGGAGTTTTCTCTGAAATTGATGTAATATTCAGCTTCTAAGTCACCTATGTATCAGGTAATCCCAATTCAGCTATCAGACTTACATCATGGCTTTTCATGGAACAAAWGTCACTCAAGTCAGGTGCTAAAATTTTGGATTCCTTTAAAGAGATGTTTTCGTCATGGCAGACGAGGCTTATTGTTGAAATTCCAGTTTGACTTTTCTGTCAACTGTATTCAGTCTGTGTTCCGTTAGATTTAAGACATGAAAATCGTGCAACGTTGAGGCATTTTGAAACACATCGGTCTCTAACAAAACCTTTTGATGTTCGAGTTATGAGCAAATGACTCGCTGTTATACAGGTTGTAGCAAACACGTGGTTGGGCTGGTTTTCGGTGTTTTCTGCAAAAAACGCTTTGCAAAAGCAGCCATCAGATCAGAYGCAAACATTTCTGCCAGCAGAGATTGTGACAAAGACCTTTTCCAAAGGATTGTAAAGGATGTGGGTGATGAATGCTGTGTCTAATTTGCAAAAGTGTTTTTTTTTTTTCAGATTTTCTAAGTAACCAAACTTGTAAAACACCACCTATACCACCAGTTGTCAGAAAACTGCTCCAAGGAGGGCGTTCAACACGGGCGAAGAACCTGTTTTTCAGTGATCGTGACTTCAGATGTCGTGCTGCAGACTGTAGAAATTGAAAGTTGGAATGTGTCGTATACRAGAGCAYGTGACGACAAAAGTTGGAATCTTTACACAAGAATCTTTTGTGACGGCCTTTAATAGAGAAGAAAAAGAAGATGCAGTCGAACAGTTTTTACAAAGAGGTCTTATCAAACATTAAGATCAGTTCTATGTGCAATACTGTATTAGATTCAAGAGGTTTTTATTGTCATTTCACCTGTATACACATGAGAAGAGTTTACGTTCCTCCTCGGCTCATGGTGCAACATAAAGTACAGTACCATAACAAAACAGTAGACAGATGTAATTACATAGAAGAATCCTTTGGTTCCTAAAGCAAATACTGCTTTTTTCCCTCACTGGACCAAAAATCCATGGCTGTAATGTCTTCATCCTGCAAGCAGTATTTAAGTTTGGCGTGTCATCTAGCTGGGGCTGCAACAACGAAATCGATTGAATCACTAAAAAGCAACAACTAAGTGTTGGCAACGGCTTTCATTATCGACTCGTTGTGTYGGGCATTTTATGTGTCGCTCTCCATGTCGCGGAGCAGTTTACTTGACCTGCAGAGCGTTGTCGATAAAATAAAAAATAAATAAATAAACTCTGGCTGCAGTGCAGAGCGAGGCAGTGTTTTCAAGGTAAATTCTACAAATAACCAAGGCAAAGAAAACAGTTCGACCAAARTCTTCAAAAGTGTGGGAGCCCTTCACGCTTTTCAAAACTAACAAATACAGTCTTTAGTGGCAGTGAGACATTAGTGCTAAAATATTTCACAGTCTGAAATATAAAACCACTTAATTCAACTTAATTTATGAAAAATAAATTATTTCCTTTAAACAAATCTGTTTACAGCAGCTGGTGAAAAGACCTGAGCTCTGAAAATAAGGCTCTGTGTTCCACTAAGCCCTAAAATAACTCACCTTCTGTTCAGTCAGCCTCTCACGTTGCCCACGTGTTTCTGTGAAGCTGTGACGAGCTGTAAGAACACGATAAAAACATGGGTCCACAGCCCGCGTGGCGCTGTTTCACGAGGTCCGACAGAAAGTGCAACACTCTAGAATCACTTTCGCCGCTGCAGAGCCTTTGGGGGGGCTCCTCGTCTGTGCCGGCGGCGGTGGCTGGGCGGGGCAGAAACGTGTGCAGCAGCACTCGGTTGGCCAGTGCAGTCAGGCAGCTCTCCAGGTGCAGCAGGTAGGTGAGGCCTCGGCTGATGCAGGTGTGAGGATCGGCCAGCCTGCCGAGGAGGGAGCCGGAGTAGGGCGGACACTTCAGGGTCCGCTGATCCAGGTCCAGCAGAGCCAGGTAGCGACTGTATTGAGTCAGAGAATGAAGAATGGTGGAGGATGTTCTGGAGGACGATCTGAAGAGGACAAAAACAAGAGATGATCTCGGGCTGCCCGAACGATTTCATCTGTTGTAGTGATGTGCAGATCGATACTGAAATATCGATATTACTGATACCAGAACTTTTGTGTTCTAGAATCGATACTAAAATCAAAATATCDATACTTTGATACTTTAGTTATTTCACATAATGTATATCCTTAACAGGAAAATAGTGGAAAATAACTAAACTATTCCACACTTGTCTTGATCATATGTGGTTGGGGAGAGCTACTTTTTCTTCCGCTTGAGTAATGCATAAGCTATAGGTCAGTCACTCAGTCTGTAGATGTATGGCAGGTCATTTTAACATAAAATCTGTTTCGTTTGACAGTTTTTACATTCTAGATGAGGGGTTCCCAAACTTTTACATGCCATGGCCCCCCAAAACAGCATTAGCTCTGGCCAAGGACCTTCTTGCAAACCCATGAACCATGCTACAAAATAACAACGTAACAACTTTTAGAATGTTTTTCTCACTTTTATTCACTATTCAAAAATTATTATATTTCTTTAGAACAAGAATTTTAAATTGTGCTAAACAAATATAAGGTCAGGGCTAAAAAGACTTAAATAAATTACTATGTCATGTATTACTTATAAAGCGGTTATTTGAAAAACACTACCCGACACATTATGTGTGTTATCACAAAGTATCAGTATTGGATCAGTATCGCCGATACCAGCCAMATTTTATTTGGTATCAATATCGGAAAGAAAACTAGCACTATCGAACATCACTAATATGTTGAACAAAAAGTGAGAACGCCGTGACGTTTGCCTCACCTGTGTATTCCTATGAGTCTCCAGGTGAGGAGGTCGGTCAGCTGAAGGGGCGTGGTCAAACGTGGCTTCACGGCACTTCCACCAGGACCGGGCGCGGGCAGGAAGACGCCGAGGGCGTCCACCAGCTTCGCTACCGAACCCTCGTCTCCTCCGACAACGACCAGCGGCCGACCGCTCAGGAGGCAGAAGACGGCRTGCTGGGAGAACGAGTGTTGTTTGACGAACCGGAGGGCTCGGAGTCCAGCCTTCCTCCTCCTCCTCCTCTGCTGAGTGTCGGTGCGGGGACGGTGGGTGGGAGAGGGTGGGTCRGAGGAGCCAGTGAAGCTGGTGCAGTCGGACGCCTCGTCTACGCTCAGCAGCCTGAGGGGAGTGCGGGGCGGAGACCTCCGACCGGTCTCCTGCGGGACGGCAGGAGGAGCAAAATTGACAAAGAGGCGAGGCGCCGACCTCGACTCCTCGGCTGCTTCTGCATGAGAAAAGCAGGTTTTTACCAGGGTTGCAAAATGTTAGCAAATTTATCAGTTGGAAACTTTCCTCAGGAATAAACCTGGAATTAATAATACTGAAGATTGTCTTTTAATGGGGATTTAACTATAGCTGAAGAAAATATATTTCATTGAATAGTCTCAACTAAAACAACAGATTTCATGCAAATACAGTTCATATTGCTGGGTTGCAGTCACATGACCCGGCTGACGCGTGAATGTCAGATGGGGGGCAGGAAGTGATTTGCTTCGGTTCAAAACACAGAGAAATGGATCACAAAGAGTACGCTAATGCCCTAAATGAGCTGGTGCGGATGAGATATCGCAAAAAAAATATGCGTACATTTAGGATACGATYCATATTATCTTAATAAAAAAAGACTTGTTATATAATCTGGAGGATTCACCCGGCGTTGAGACGATCAACATAAACTACTACCTGGTGCTGCAGACCTCATGTTAGAGGCTACGACGAGTCAGATGAAAGCTTTCAAAAGCCTCAAAGCTACAATAATTTTGTTTCAGGTTGTGTCAAACATCCAAAGAAACGTTAAATGTCTGTTGACTTGTTTCTGCCAGGCTGAGTTGTGCTATTTTAAGTAGTTAGCTTATGATAACAAYGCTAATGCTAACAACAAGTTAACTCCTGTTATTTCTATGTGCTTGGATCTACTTACAAATAATTGTTTTTGGCTTCTGTAAACCCAAATTTAAGTAACTATCCAGGAAAATATCTGACAATATGATTTAAACGATACGATCCTGACCTGTTAAAGTGGTCACTATAAACTATAAACAGCAATAGCTGTTATTCTTTAGTCAAGTTTGGATCCAAAGCACAAGACCATTGAAGCTCTGGGCCTGAGGACTACATAAAGTGAAACTTAATTAAAAAAAAACTTTTGATTTATGCTGCATCCCCCAAACACAAGATCAAACATTGTTGTTGTTTCTACTTTCCACCACTAGATGGCAGACACATCTTTGATTTTATCTCTTTCTTTTTTTAAAAAAAAAGCCATTTTTTATCTCAACATTTAATATAAAACAGGGGTGGGCAATCCTGGTCCTCGAGGTCTGCAGCCCTGCATGTTTCACATTTTTCTCTGCTCCAACACACCTGATTTGAATGAAAAGGTAATTATCAGGCTTCTGCAGAAGTTGGAAAAGGTCATTCAATGCAAGTGTTTAACTGCCTGGATTTGTTGGTGTGTTTGAGGGCTTCAACTTCCTGTGAAAGRTTTCTGGAGATTTTGAATAAAGTCATTTTTGAAATCCCTCAAACTGCCTCAGAGTTGTCCCGAGGATCATTCCACCAGTTAGTTTCAGACGTCTTTATTTATTCTCAGAGTGTCTGTAGTTACCTTGTGAAGGTTTAAGCGTTGTCACTTGTGTGGTGTCATCTTGGACTCCATTTCTCCTCTCTGTGWYTTTTATTTCCTGTAAAGGCTCCCGGCCTTCATCCTCTGAAGCGGCGATCCTCTTCACCGTCTCCTCTTTCGGTACTTGATCGGAGCTGTGCCCCATCAGAGGCTCTGCCTCATTCCTAAAACCGTTAGCGAGAGGAGGATGCTCCACCTCCTCCTCCGTGATGGCGGTGAGGTCGTCGGGGGCGATGGACCCGGTGGTGCTGAGCACCTCGATGCTGTCCTCGCTGTTGGTGCGTCTGGCGTGGGCTCGCACGCGCCTCACGCCCAGCTCCACGGCTGGACGCTGGATGCAGACGTCGCTCATTCCCGCAGGAGTTTCTGTGCGGGAGAGACGGGACAGTCAGCCGATCTGAGTCGTCATCCTGTCAAAGATGCTTCAAAGCAGACGTTATGATGTTTTTTTGTGTGAAGGGCTTGCTAAAGTTTGTACGACAGAGTATTAGGGCCACACGAGATTTTTTTTTATTACGAGAATAAAGTCATATTATGAGAATAAAGTCATATTATTACGAGATTAAAGTCATAATATTACGAGATTAAAGTCATAATATTACGAGATTAAAGTCGTAATATTACGAGATTAAAGTAGTAATATTACAACGTTAAAGTCATAATATTACGAGATTAAAGTCATAATATTACGAGATTAAAGTCGTAATATTACGAGATTAAAGTAGTAATATTACAACATTAAAGTCAT